AACGTTAGCCAGGCATGGTGACACATGTGTGTAGTCTCTGCTAATTGGAAGGCTGAGGCAGGAGGATCAATTGAGCCCAGGAGGTTGAGGCTGCAGCAAGCCATGATTGTGCCACTCCACTCCATCCTCAATGACAGAACAAGACCCTGTCTCAGAAAAGCAAAACAATACAAAACAAATCTTACCCTTACCTGAAAAGCTGGTTAAGGAGGGTTGTAAGTGGTAATGTTAGTTTCTCCATATATCAGTTCAGACCTTATCCCAAAGGAAGACCAGAGCTGTTTGAACTCCAGCTCTTCTTTAGCTGCCAGGTGTTAACAACTTGTGTTTCGTAAGCATAGACAGATTCAAACCACTGACCTGGAGTTGAAATATTTTCTAAGCTGTGACTCATCTTTTGTCCCATTCTTTCTTTCACTAGGAAATACACTGAATTTTGATTTCGAGAATTTCAATTATCCCTTCTGAAGAATCTGTTGCTCATTAAAGTTGCTAGGACTTGTCTTTCTGGTAACCAGCAGGGCTACAAATTAGTTTGTATTCAGTGGTTATGTTAAACCCTGTGTAAACAGGGAGAAATTTGATTAACTGGCTAAAGGAAGGTTGTTGAAGATGAGACCTTTGAGACCTTTCTTTCTGACTCCTTTTAGAGATTCATCTCTTACACCAGAGGGATGGCTATGTAGGAGGGTGAATCTGAGGCTGAGCAGAGCAGGTGCTGTGTGTATGTATTTGTATCTGTAAATATCACATCACTGTTTATAGTACACTGGACTCTCTACATGCAAGGCCTGATCAGGCCAAACCAAGAGGAATTGTTCCTGTGCTTAAAGCCAAGAATAACATCCTGACCAGCAGGGGGACAGAGGTCAGCTCAAAGCAACAGTTCTTGGGAGCTGCAGAACATTAAGAACCTTGGAGGAACTGAGCTTAATAAAAAGGAAGGCAAGATGTACTTTGAAGGAAGTGTGTGAAACCTGCATGCCTTTCTCTTATTAGGACATGGTTTATTTATGAAAAATGAAAAAGTTATCTTTTTTTTTTTTTTTCGAGACAGAGTCTCCCACTGTTGCCTGGGCTGGAGAGCAATGGCATGATCTCAGTTCACTGCAACCTCCGCCTCCCGGGTTCAAGCAGTTCTCCTGCCTCAGCCTCCCAAGTAGCTGGGATTACAGGTGCCTACTACCACACCCAGTTAATTTTTTGTATTTTTAGTACAGACAGGGTTTCACTTTGTTGGCCAGGCTGGTCTTGAACTCCTGACCTTCTGATCTGCCTACCTTGGCCTCCCAAAGTGCTGGGATTACAGGTGTGAGCCACTATGCCCAGCCAAAAAATGAAATGTTATCTTAACAGATGGATATGTGATGAGTTCATATCACCTCTTGGTCATTTAGATTTTCCCCTTCTACTTATACATTGATTTATCTGTTGATTATTTTTATTAGAAATTGTATAACTAGCTAAGTAGCAGGAAAAATATGTTCTATTATTCTGGTGTTTTATTCTATAAGCAACATCAGAGAGGCCCACTAGAGAAATGGATTTAAAAGATAATATGTTAATTAAAAAACAAGTACCATGTCTCTTGGGGAATTTACTTACTGGTTAGAGTTTTATTTCTGGGATCTTTCTGTGCTTGCTTCTTTTTCCTGCCATCTTTCCTCATTCTGATGCTGGCCATTCACTCCACAGAGGCAACTCAAACTATTTTCTGAAGGAGCATTCTAAGTTTCTTCTGTTGTCTTCTCCAGGACTCATTTATCTGGCTTGGCTTCAGCTGGTTTCAGGCCAAAGTGATCTGAAAGCTTTTCTTCATGGCCTTTATTTCTTGGCTCTTTTCATGCGCTTTGCCTGATTGGTTTGGCTGGTTCTTTCCTTCTCCAGTGTTGTAAGCTATGTCGCCTTAATTGTAGGGATCTAAAGCTCAGGTGCAGCCTCAGGCCATTTAGACTTTTCCCGGGTTTATAAAGTACTTTTGTCCTTTCCTAGAAATTGACCGATGAATCAGATGTTCTGTTATGAGGTATTGCCGACTCTCCTGGGATTTTAGTTTGCCAGTTATTTAAACAGCGTGTAGCAATTTGGATTGTATTTGCAGAGTAGGACTTGTTGCCAAGACTCCGAAGTAGGTCATTGCTATTATGCTTTTTCTCTTTATTTATTTATTTATTTTTATAGAGACAAGGCCTCACTATGTTGGCCAGGCTGGTCTTGAACTTCTGGCCTCAAGTGATCTTCCTGCCTTGGTGGGTGTTTAATCCAAAGTGTTAGGATTAAAGGTGTGAGCCAACATGCCCAGCCCTCCCTTTCTTTTTCTTTCTTTCTTTTTTTTTTTTTTTTTTTTTTTTTGAGACAGAGTCTTGCTTGTCACCCAGGCTGGAGTGCAGTGGCGCAATCTTGACTTACTGCAATCTTCACCTTCTGGGTTCAAGCAAGTTTCCTGCCTCAGCCTCCTGAGTAGCTAGAATGATAGACATGCGCCACTACGCATGGCTGATTTTTATGTTTTTAGTAGAGATAGGGCTTCACCATGTTGACCAGGCTGGTCTCGAACTCCTGTTCTTAAACAATACACCTGCCTTGGCCTCCCAAAATTCTGGGATTATAGGGGATAGCCACCGTGCCCGGCCCTCCCTTTATTTTTCAATTGAAAAATTAACAAAGACAGAATTACCTTGTCCGTGGTCACATGGTAAGTTGATCTTATACCTTTTGAAGCAAATCTTATTTTTGTATTCCTTATACCTCTCAGTGCAAGTATTAGCTTAACAAATAATAGGTGGTTATTAAATATGAATAAAGAAATCATAACTGTAGGTTGATTGGGAATAGAGATATGGTTAAAATTCAGAATTCTCATCAGGTTCATCATATTGTGGACAAACAGCTGAGAAAAGGTTCCGGATGGAAGGGACAGAATAGCCATGCATGAAGCTTTTAGTAGTGTAGAATGCTCACAAAAAGATAAATCCTGGCGACGCACAGTGCCTCGCCCCTTACCCAGCACTTTGGGAGGCCAAGGCAGGCAAATCACGAGGTGAGGAGTTAGAGGCTAGATTAGCCAATATAGTGAAACCCTGTCTCTACTAAAAATACAAAAATTAACCAGCATAGTAGCGTACAGCTGTACTCCCAGCTCCTTGGGAGGCTGAAGCAAAAGAATCATTTGAACCTGGGAGGCAGAAGTTGCAGGGAGCCAAGATCGTGCCACTGCACTCCAGCCTGGACAATAGAGCAAGACTCTGTGTCAGAAAAGAAAGACATCCCAATTTAGCTCATACCTGCAATCCTAGCACTTTGGGAAGCCAAGATGGAAGGATAATTTGAGCCTTGGAGTTCAAGACCAGCCTGGCCAACAAAGAGAGTTCTCCTCTCTACAAAAAATTAAAAAATTACCTAGATGTAGTGGCATGTACCTGTAGTCACTGCTACTCAGAAGGTGGAAACAGGAGGATCCCTTGAGCCCAGGAGTTTGAAGCTGCAATAAGCAGTGATTGTGCCACTACACTCTAGCCTGTGGGTGACAAAGTGATACCTTGTCTCAAAAAAAAAAAAAAAAAAAATGCTGAGCACAGTGTCTCATGCCTGTAATCCCAGCACTTTGAGAGGCATCATGAGAGGATTGCTTGAGTCCTGGAATTTGAGACCAATCCTGGGCTACATACATAGTGAGACCTTGTCTCTACTAAAAATAACAAAGAAAAAAGTTATCTGGGTGTGGTGACACATGCTATGCCTATAGTCCTAGTTACTTGAGAGGCTGAGGCAGGAGGATTATTTGAGCCCAGGAGGTTGAAGCTGCGGTGAGCCAAGATTGTGCCACTGCATTCCTACCTTGGTCACAAGAGTGAGACCCTGTCTCAAAAAAAGAAAAAAAAAAATCCCAAATTAAATCATTCTAAAATGAAGAAATAGAAAAGTAGCTTGAATGAAAAGGAAATTAGTTCTAATGTAAGGAGAAATAGGGTGAGAGAGCATAAAAGAACATGAATTAGTTGAACAGTTCTCTAAATGGGCATCTTGCCAGCCTGGGTCAGACAGTAAAAATGAAAATTTCCCTCTTCTCCCCAAAACCACTATCCAGAGGGGCTATTATTCACTCTGAATACTTGTATCCAGTTTTGAGAATGCCATGTAAAACATGAAGAGGTCCAGTAGGGTTAGCACAGAGAATAGTTGCTCTTTTGATTTGTTAAATTCTTAATAGTTTTGCTGCTCTCTAAAGCCAAAACCATTTTCTGATTATTTTACTGTTTCCAAAGCAGCAGCTGAGACTGCTGTACTACACTGTGCATCAGGCAATAATCCTTTGGAAGGCCTGGCTACATTTTTTTTTTTTTGGAGACAGTCTTGCTCTTGTTGCCCCGGCTGGAGTGCAATGGTGTGATTTCAGCTCACTGCAACCTCTGCCTCTCGGGTTCAAGCGATTCTCCTGCCTCAGCTTCCCAAGCAGCTGGGATTACAGGTGTGCACCACCACATCTGGCTAGTTTTGTATTTTTAGTAGAAATGGAGTTTCACCATGTTGGTCAGGTGGGTCTCAAACTCCTGACCTCAAGTGATCCTTTTGCCTTGGCCTTCCAAAGTGCTGGGATTACAGGCATAAGCCACTGCGCCTGGCTGCCTGGCCACTTTTCTACTTTTCCAAAAATAAAAACCAAAAAAAAAAAAAAACACCTTTTTTTTTCTTTTGCTTTGAGACCAGCAATTTGCATCTCATTCAGGATCTCTCTTCTCCCGCCTCATTTTTTCATGCATACCTGTGCTAAGTCCTGTTCTCTGAACCTGGATCTGGATTCTGGCCTCAGTGCATTGTACAAATTTTAACTATTTGTGGTTTCAGACCTATTTCTACCTTTTTTTTTTGGTCTTTCCCTGCTCTCTGTAGTAAACTGGGTTCAGACTTGCTTGGGCAAGGGATGATAGTTTTTACTTGTTTTTTGACTCCATAAATATTTTCTCTTCTTACTAATTGTTCTTTCTTTCTTTGTCAAACAGGCTACCAAGCAGTTTCTTGAAGAGATTAACAAGTGGACAGTTCAGTACAATGTCTCCCCGCTGTCTTGGAATGTGGCTGTCAAGTTTCTCATGGCCAGGAAGTTTGATGTGCTCCGTGCCATAGAATTGTTCCACTCCTACAGAGTATGTTGCTTGGGGTGGACCAGACCTGTGGCAGTTGGGCAAAGTGTTGCTGTTCTCTCTGTCATGCTCAACACACACGTTGGTTCTCTAAGTGTCCTCTCCACTCCCATAAAAAATGGATCCATATCCAGGACCCCCTGTGATAGCTGAAGCTGGGCAAGGGAGCTGCTGGAAGGCACTACTTTTGTACCTAAGTTTTGATTATAGACCAGGATGCCACTTCTACTGATGGAGACTGAGGAAGAAGCCTGACAGCATCCTGGTGGCAGGAGAGGACTTCCACCTTCCTAGAATTTTAATCCTAGTTCTTTTCATTGGCCTCTGGCTACATGAAAATCTTTTGGTTTTCACGATGTCTAGGGCTTTTAGAAAGGCCATTCAGATGAATGCTGAGCTTAGTGGGCAGTTCAGGAAGGGAAGTTTTAACCCTGGAAAAGAAGAGCAACTGTGTATTAACCAAAATGTGTATTTGCCAAAATGGCAAAACCCTGTCTCTACTAAAAATACAAAAATTAGCTGGGTGTGGTGGCACCTGTATTCCCAGCTAGTTGAGAGGCTAGTCCATTATCTTAAAGTATCTTTAGGCAGATGTAGCTACATCAGGATTTTACCTTGTTTTGAATTTTGTTTTTTGGGGGGGCACAGACTTTGATGTTGTGCTTAATGTTTGCTTTCTCAGTTAGCAGTGTCTTTGATAAAACACTATACAACATGTTACTTTGGGGTCAGAATCCTTCTAAAGAGATACAAATCTCCCTAAATTAAAAAAAAAAAATTGGGATAACTAGCACTAGGATTAGTTTAACTGAAGCTCAGATACCTCTCTGTCTTGTGGACCAGCTCATTCAGTATTCATTCATTTACTCAACAGATACTTATTTTACACTACTGTGTTCCAAGTGCAGAGATTACTATTTAGAAAGAGGTAATAGGGCTGGGTGCAGCACAGTGGCTCATGCCTGTAATCCTAGCACTTTGGCAGGCCAAGTCAGGTGGATCACTTGATGTCAGGAGCTTGAGACCAGCCTGGCCAAAATGGCAAAACCCTGTCTCTACTAAAAATACAAAAATTAGCTGGTGTGGTGGCACCTGTATTCCCAGCTAGTCGAGAGGCTGAGGAGGGAGAATCTTGTGAACCCAGGCGGTGAAGGTTGCAGTGATGAGAGATCATGCCACTGCACTCCAGCCTGGGCAACAGAGTGAGACTCTGTTTCAAAAAACAAAGAAAGAGAATAGACAAACAATTATAGAATGTTATGATAAGGCAGCATTGGGTTCTGTGGAAGCAGTTTTTTTTTTTTGAGACTTGCTCTGTCACCTACACTGGAGTGCAGTCTCATGATCTCGGCTCACTGCAAATTTCTGCCTCCCGAGCTCAACTGATCCTCCCACCTCACTTCAGCCTCCCACGTATGTGAGACCACAGGCATGCATTACCACACCTGGCTAATTTTTTGTATTTTTAGTAGAGATGGAGTTTCGCTATGTTGCCCAGGCTGGTCTCGAACATATGAGCTCAAGTGATCTGCCCGCCTTGGCTTCCCAAAGTACTGGGATTACAGGTGTGAGTCACCGTGGTTTGCAGCCTAAGAGATTAAAACAAGCAGTTGATGAAATAGGACAAACCAGGATAGTATTCTTTTGCTATCATGGTATACAAAGGTAGAGACTGTCTCCAGAAAAAGGAAATGTAAGTGGTCAACCTTGTCATTTAAAAGGAGGACAGAAGAGGCTGGTTGCGTTGGCTCATGCCTGTAATCCCAGCACTTTGGGAGGCTGGGGCAGATGGATCGCTTCAGCACAGGAGTGCATGACCAGGCCAGGCAACATGGTGAAACCCCATCTCTACTAAAAACAAAAATTAGCCAGGCGTTGTGGCACATGCCTGTAATCTCAGCTCCTCAGAAGGCTGAGGCAAGAGAATCTCTTGGAAGTAGAGGTTGCAGTAATCCGAGATCATGCCACTGCACTCCACCCTTGTCGACAGTGCAAGACTCAGTCTCAATACAAAATAAAATAAAAAAAGAAAAGAAAGGAGGACTGAAATGTCCAGCAAATTCAATGACGTAAAGATCCTGGTTATTATAGCAGGAGCTTTTGGTGTAGCAGTTAAGTTGCGAGAAAACCAAAATGCAATGGACTGAGTATGAGGGAAATGGGGATGAGTAAAAAATCTGGCCATCAAGGCTGGGCACGGTGGCTCATGCCTGTAACCCTAGCACTTGGGAGGCCGAGGTGAGCGGATCACCTGAGGTCAGGAGTGTGAGACCAGCCTGGCCAAAATGGCAAAACACCATCTCTACTAAAAATACAAAAAATTAGTTGTCATGGTGGCACACACCTGTAATCCCAACTACTTGGGAGGCTGAGGCAGGAGAATTGCTTCAACCTGGGAGGCGAAGGTTGCAGTGAGCTGAGATTACACCACTATACTCCAGCCTGGGTGACAGAGTAAGACTCTGGCTCAAAAAAAACAAAAAAAATCTGGCCATCAAGCTGGGCATAGTGGTGCATACTTGTAAGCCCAGGTACTCAAGAGGCTGAGGCAGGAGGACTGCTTCAAGCCAGGAGTCCAGGAGTTTGAGATCTTCCTGGGCAAAATAGTGAGACCCTGTCTTTTATTTAAAAAAAAAAGAAAAGAATCTGGCCATCAGAGTGAGGAAAATGAAGTCATGGCAGCTGTTGTTGGAGACTATATCAGGTGGAGAGAGGACTCCTATTTAAACATAGGAGAGGCCTAAACATAGAAGATGTGTGAGGATGAATGCATCCAGACATTTTGAGGTTCATATTTTAGTGTCCTGGTGCTGCTGCGTGTTTAAGGACCTTGATCCTGAACCTCAGTGTAACATACTGGTTACTCTTCAGGGTTAGGATTCTTACTAATGCAGAGAAAAACCCTACCTGAGGGGCTGATAAAGTAGTTTTGGACAGGAACTCTAAAAATGTTTGGTTGGCTTGGAAGCAGATTACAAAGAAATTCATAATTCATTTAGTTGACTTCAATGACTTCATTATTCATTTAGCTGAATTCTTTTTTTTTTTTTTTTTTCTTTTGAGACAGAGTCTCACTCTGTTGCCCAGGCTATAGTGCAGGGGTGCCGTCTCAGCTCACTGCAACCTCCACCTCCCGGGTTCAAGCGATTTTCCTGCCTCAGCCTCTGGAGTAGCTGGAGTTAGAGTTGCCCACCACCATACCAGGCTAATTTTTATATTTTTAGTAGACACTAAAAATGGATTGTATTTTTAGTAGAATTCTAATTCAACTAAATGAAGAATTAGTTATGAAATTAGTTACAAAATTTATTTAGTTATGAAATTTATAATTCATTCACTGATAATCACCTTCCCTCTGAGATTTGGTGGTTACATGGAGCTGTCCTGGATATACAGTATTTTCATATTACTACATTCTGCTGTGCTTCCTTTTTAGGAAACTCGAAGGAGGGAAGGCATTGTGAAGCTGAAGCCTCATGAGGAACCTCTTCGTTCTGAGATCCTCAGTGGAAAATTCACCATCTTAGTGAGTCTTTAGGGACCTATCTTGTAGGGCTTCATTATTGCCTTTTTTTGACCGGTGTCATGTTTGGACTTTGTTCCTGCATACATTATCCTGAATCTAGAGAGTCTCCAGAGTTAGGAGCAGATGTGAAACAGCCATGCAGTTTGTTATAAAATTATTTTAGTAATAATTGAATTACTAATAATTACTAGTAATTAGAGTTGCTAATGATAATTGAATAACTGAATTATGGAAAATCAGTTGTACAGTAGACTTAAAAAAGTTTCTTCATTTGGTCTGTTAAGGTTAGTCGTGGTCTTTGCGATAGATATGCGATGTGTCAGACACCCATGCTTCCATATTTAACACAAGCCCTCCACTTAGCTGAGACCTCAGCCTTTCAAGTAAACATTTAATGGCACTTTTTTTTTTTGAGACGGAGTTTCACTCTTGTTACCCAGGCTGGAGTGCAGTGGCGCAATCTCGGCTCACGGCAACCTCCACCTCCTGGGTTCAGGCAATTCTCCTGCCTCAGCCTCCTGAGTAGCTGGGATTACAGGCAATGCCCCCATGCTCAGCTAATTTTTTTTTTTTGAGATGGAGTTTCGCTGTTGTTACCCAGACTGAGACTGGAGTGCAATGGCATGATCTCAGCTCACCGCAACCTCCGCCTTCTGGGTTCAAGCAATTCTCCTGCCTCAGCCTCCCGAGTAGCTGGGACTATAGGTGCGCACCACCATGCCCAGCTAATTTTTGTATTTTTAGTAGAGACAGGGTTTCACCTTGCTGACCAGGATGGTCTCGATCTCTTGACCTCGTGAGCCACCACGCCCGGCCAACTTTTTTTTTTTAGTAGAGATGGGGGTTTCACCATGTTGACCAGGATGGTCTCAATCTCTTGACCTCGTGATCTACCCGCCTCGGCCTCCCAAAGTGCAAAGTGCTGGGATTACAGGCGTGAGCCACCGCACCCGGCCATTTGGCACTTTTAAGGCAGAGGGTGGAAATCATGGTCCTGTTGCCTGGTTCTCTCCTGCTGCTTGTTTCTTTGGCCATCCTGCTGGGGAAGTTAGCTAGGAAGTCATCTTTTGATCTGTCTGCAGTTGAAGAGCAAAGAGAATGTGATTTTTTTTTCTTACCACAGAAATAAGGTCCAGGGAGTCCTGAGAGAATCAGCCAAGGGATGATATTAACATTCTTCCCTCTGGGGAGAAATGGGTGAGGTCAGGGAATTACTGTTAGCATCTGTTTTCTTCACGTATCAAACCCTTATCCACTATATGTCTTAGTAACTGCTCTGGTTTTCTATTTGATTTTTAAATGTTTCTTGTTTTATTTGCTTTAGAATGTTCGGGACCCAACAGGAGCTTCCATTGCCCTCTTTACTGCCAGGTTGCATCATCCCCACAAGTCAGTCCAGCATGTGGTACTTCAGGCTCTGTTTTACTTGCTAGACAGAGCTGTGGATAGGTAAGCATTGAGATTATTTTTTAGGTGGTCTACATGCAGGTAGGAAAGTGACAGTTTTTGACTTGATTAAATTCAGCAGTGCCTTCACCATTCTCCTAGAATGTGCCCTGCGCAATGCTATGGACAGAAAACAGTCCATGTCAGCTGGGCATGGTGGCTCATGCCTATAATTCCAGCACTTTGGGAGGCCAAGGCAGTGGCCTTGGTGGATCACTTGAGGTCAGGAGTTCAAGACCATCCTGGCCAACAATGGTGAAACCCCATCTCTACTAAAAACACAAAAATTAGCCGGGTGTGGTGGCATGCACCTGTAATCCCAGCTACTCAGAAGGCGGAGGTAGGAAAATTGCTTAAACCTGGGAGGCAGAGGTTTCAGTGAGCCAAGATTGGGCTGAACTCCAGCCTGGCAACAAATAAAAAACAACAGTCCATGTCCTTCACGACATGGCATGTTTACGGGCACTATCAAAATAGTGAGTATTCTGTCTTTTTACCACCTTGGCTCTATGTCAGGAAAACAGAAGCTGAGAAAGTCAATTATCAGCAGTCTTCAATGTATACAAAACTACTTATTGAAAGAGAGTGAGGGGGAGATGACCTGTGCTGCTTCTTTTTGTTTATATCAGAACCTTCTACAGCCTCAGTTTCTTTGTCTGCATAACAGGAATAATGCCATTTAGCTCAAAGGATTTTGAGACTCAACATTGAGGGGTCGGCTGGGTGTGGTGGCTCATACCTGTGATCCCAGCACTTTAGGAGGCTGAAGTGGGCAGATTGCTTGAGGCCAGGAGTTCAAGACCAACGTGGACAACATGGTGAAACGCTGTCCTGATAAAAAGACATAAAATTAGCTGGCTGTGGTAGCGTGCACCTTAAGTCCCAGCATCGGCGGGAGGAAGGGGGCGATGTTGCTGTGGTGGGAGGATCACTTGAGCCCGGAACGGTGAGGCTATAGTGAGCCATGATCATGCCACTGCACTTCAGCCTGGATGACAGAACGAGACCTGTCTCAAAACACACACACACACACACACACAAACTGCACACAAAACAAACAACAATAAAAACATTCAAGGAAAAGTCCAAATGTATAAAGCAAAAACATTCTTAATAAAAACAGGTACATAGCTTAGGTCATCACTCTCTCCCTGCTTAGGTAAATGGTATTGTTACAATTCAGTGGACAATTAAACTTAAGCCCCAGGAAGTTTTTTACAGTCATCACCTGTTAGCCCAGCTGGTTCTAAGACCCTGGCTTCTTCACTCTTGAGCAGTTATTTGTATCCTCCCATGCTGTCTTTTTGCTATTCTTTTTTCCCTGGTGCTTGCAATTTACAGTTTCTTACTGCTCTCACCATCTTTGGCTGGGCCTCTGGATTAGAAGTGCTATATTGAGGCCAGGCGCATTAACTCATGCCTATAATCCTAACACTTTGTGAGGCTAAGAGTCTCAGCTACTCGGGGAGGCTGAGGCATGAGAATTGCTGGGAGGTGGAAGTTGCAGTGAGCAGAGATCATGCCACTGCACTCTAGTCTGGGCAACAGAATCAGACTCTCTCTAAACACAACAAAAAACTTTAATTGTGGCCAGGCGTGTAATCCCTGTAATCCCAGGACTTTGGGAGGGCAAGATGGGTGGATCACAAGGTCATGAATTTGAGACCAGCCTGACCAACATGGGGAAACCTTGTCTCTACTAAAAATACAAAAATTAGCCGGGCATGGTGGTGTGTGCCTGTAATCCCAGCTTCTCAGGAGGCTGAGGCAGGAGAATCGCTTAAACCTGGGAGGCAGAGGTTGCAGTGAGCCAAGATCGCACCTCTGCACTCTACCCTGGACAACAGAGCAAGACTCTGTCTCAAACAAACAAAAAAGAATTCTCCTATAGCTCAGAAGAATAAATGAGAGGCTCCTTTCCCAGAAAATCCAGTACTGGTCTCCCTCCATGGAAGGCTTGGAGTCAGAACTCTCATGTAGGCATGGCAGGATGATGCATGGAGGAGGCCACATCTTGCTTTTTCCATTGTGAGTATTAGATCCTACAAGACAACCACACAGCTAAACATAGTTAAAACTTAGGTTTTATGATATTCATTCCTTTCCTAAAAACCCTCAGTGACTCCCAATTATCCAGAGGGAGCATATAAGCTAAATAAACGTGAACTCTTTTCTCTAAGCACAACATTCTCCCCAGTGAATAGAAAATCTTGTTTTTCTGTGTTACCTTGAACTATAGTGGTCTTACCTCTCCCTTCGTCTTTACTAAATTCTACCCTTTCTTCAAAACCCAGCTTCCATGACTAGCTCCCTCACACTCCAACCTGTCATAAATGAAATCAGGTTCCCTCTGACTTTAATAGAAGTTATTATGAATATCAGTCTTTATGTACTTACATTATACATAGTCTTGTGATATCATTCATCTTACACCGTTACTAGATTTTTCATCTACCACTAGAATGTGAGCTCCTTTAGAGCAGGGAACTTTCTTTTTAAAATATATAATGGAAAATATCCAAATTTCTGTAGGTCAAGAGAGAATGGTATCATTAATGTCTATATATCCATCATCCATCTTCTTCAAAGTGATCTGTAACCAGTTTTGTTTCATTGGTAGCCCCTCATGGATCTCCTACCCTCAGTTGCTTTCTTTCTTTTTTTTTTCTTTTTGAGACCAGATCTTGCTTGTCACTCAGGCTGGAGGGCAGTAGCATGATCGTAGCTCACTGCAGCCTTGAATTCCTGGGCCTAAGAGATCCTCCCATCTTGGCCTCCCAAAATGCTGGGATTACAAGCATGAGCCACTGCATCTAGCCTCTCAATTTTTTTTTAAACAAATGTCAGGGACTGTGTTTAAACATCTTGGTGTCTTCTCTAACGTGTACCTCAGGAATCAGACTCAGTAGGGAATCAGTCAGCTGTCATTGTAAATATTAAACTGGGTGCAGTGGCTCATGCCTGTAATCCCAACACTTTGGGAGGTCAGGCGAGAGGATCGCTTGAGTCCAGCAGTTGAAGACCAGCCTGGGCAACATAGCAAGACCTCGTCTTTACAAAAAATTTAAAAATTAGCCAGGTATGGTGGTGCATGTCTGTAGTCCCAGCCACTCATGGAAGGCTGAGCTGGGAGGATCACCTGAGCCCTGGGAGGTCAAGGCTGCAGTGAGCTATGATTGTGCCACTGCACTCCAGCATGGGTGACAGAGTAAAATGCTGTCTTTAAAATATATATATTCTGGCTGGGCACAATGGCTTATGCCTGTAATCTCAGCACTTTGGGAGGCCGAGGTGGGTGGATCACCTGAGGTCAGGAGTCTGATAGCAGCCTGGCAATATGATAAAACCCTATCTCTACTAAAAATTAAAAAATAAATAAGGAAAAGGAGTCAAGATTTAACACTAATATAACACATTAGGGGCCAGTTGAAATCAAGTCTGCTGGAGAAACTTTCATGTACCTCAGAATTAGACATTTTTGAAATATTAGCTCATGGGCGGAGACTTCTGCCTTGGAATTTGTAAAAGGGATGAAGATATGGAGGTTCTGGGGAGGTGATGGTGCAAAAATAGTAGGATACAAAATAACTTTGAGGCTGTGCATGGTGGCTCACGCCTGTAATCCCAGCACTTTGGGAGGCCAAGGTGGGTGGATCACCTGCGTTCAGGAGTTTGAGATCAGCCTGGCCAACACGGCGTAACCCCGTCTCTTCTAAAAATTCAAAATTAGCCAAGTGTGGTGGTGCATGCCTGTAGTCCCACCTACTTGGGAGGCTGAGGCAGGAGAATCACCTGAACCCGGGTGACAGAGGTTGCAGTGAGCCCAGATCGCGCCATTGCACTCCAGCCTGGGCAACAAGAATGAAACTCCATCTCAAAAAAAACAAAAAAGAGAAAACAATAACTTTGAGACTCCTGATTTCAGGAATGTGTTTTGTGCCAGTTTTCTCAATTCTAAACAGATACAAAAACTGTTGCTGTCATCTGTGAGTAGTCCAATCAAATAATTTATTCCTAATGACCATTTGGGTCTGAAATCAGATGTAAGTATGGATCTGGCTTGGGGGAAGGGTACGTCTTTGAGATATCTTTATCAATCTGGGAAACTGGACTGAGGAATACTTTCTTTTTTTTTTTGAGACGGAGTTTCACTCTTGTTACCCAGGCCAGAGTGCAATGGCACAATCTCGGCTCACCGCAACCTCCACCTCCTGGGTTCGGGCAATTCTCCTACCTGAGCCTTCTGAGTAGCTGGGATTACAGGCACGCGCCACCATGCCCAGCTAATTTTTTGTATTTTTTTTTTTTTTTAATTTAGTAGAGACGGGGTTTCACCATGTTGACCAGGATGGTCTAAATCTCTTGACCTTGTGATCCACCTGCCTCGGCCTTCCAAAGTACTGGGATTACAGGCGTGAGCCACCGCGCCCGGCCAGACTGAGGAATACTTTCTGTGTCTTCAAATGTTCCTCAGTTTGGTCTGGGAATAGGCTTACTTTTTTTTTGAGACAGAATCTCATTCTGACTTCCAGGCTGGAGTGCAGTAGCACAATCTCTGCTCACTGCAACCTCCACCTGCTGTGCTCAGGCAGTCTTCCTGCCTCAGCCTCCTGAGTAGCTGAGATTACAGGCATCTGCCACCATGCCCGGCTAATTTTATATTTTTAGTAGAGATGGGGTTTCACCATGTTGGCCAGGCTGGTCTGGAACTCCTGACCTCAGCCTGCCTCAGCCTCCTGAAGTGCTCGGATTACAGGCATGAACCACCATGCCTGGCCATAGCTTACTATTAATACCTATTAATCTACTTTTTTTCTTTCTTTCTTTCTTTCTTTTTTTTTAATAGAGTCAGAGTCTTGCCATGTTACCCAGGCTGGTCTTGAACTCCGGGCTCAAGTGATCTGCCCGCCTTGGCCTCCCAAAGTGTTAGGATTACAAGCGTGAGCCACTTTGCCTGGCCTTAACATTTTTTTTTTTTTCTTTTTTTGAGACGGAGTTTCGCTCTTGTTACCCAGGCTGGAGTGCAATGGTGCGATCTCATTCCAGCCTCCACCTCCTGGGCTCAAGTGACCCTTCCACCTCAGCCTTCCAAGTAACTGGGACTATAGGCATAGGATGAGGTATTGTCATGTTGCCCAGGCTGGTCTCAAATTCCTGGCCACCTTAGCCTCCCAAAGTGCTGAGACTAGAGGCATGAGCCACCATGCCCAGACTTAATCTTCTTTTTAAGAATGCTTTTCTTTTTTCTTTTTGAGATGGAGTTTCGCTCTTGTTACCCAGGCTGGAGTGCAAAGTGCAATGGCGCGATCTCGGCTCACCGCAACCTCCACCTCCTGGGTTCAGGCAATTCTCCTGCCTCAGCCTCCTGAGTAGCTGGGATTACAGGCATGCGCCACCATGCCCAGCTAATTTTTTGTATTTTTAGTAGAGATGGGGTTTCAACATGTTGATCAGCATGGTCTCGATCTCTTGACCTCGTGATCCACCCGCCTCGGCCTCCCAAAGTGCTGGGATTACAGGCTTGAGCCACTGCTCCCGGCCACTAAGAATGCTTTTCAAAGGCCATTATGAGTTTGTTCTCTTCCTCCATTGGATCACAAGAGACAAATTTACTATCACTGAGCTTAGAGGCAGTTTTGTTCTACAGAGTTTTCCACAGGTCTGAAATGTTTTAGAGATGGGCTTCTAGTCTACTCAATTAGAATTCAGTGATCATTTATTTTTAAGGGCGGGGCTAGGGACTGTTGGGGGTAATGAGTTGAACGACAGGTTCTTGTCCTCTAGGAGATAATCACATGGCTACACAGAGTATGTTAAGGCCACAGAAAAATCCACAGGAAAATTTATGGGGCTTTAAGGGAAAAAACACTTGGTAGTATATTTGATTACAGTTATCAGGGAGACTTTCATGGCAGAGGAAACTTTGGGGTTGAGTATGGAATGTGTTATAGGATTTCATAGGCAGATCCAGAGGGGTGGGAGAAAACAGTTCAGATTTTAATAACTTAGTTGTTGTAGCGCATTCTCAGCCGAGGAGTGTGGCATTTGGTAAATCTGGATAAATTCGCATTAATAAACATAGCAGATACCAAAGATAAGCGATCTTTTTGTAAGATCATTGTGCAGGCAGGCAGTTGTTTTGATCCTAGATGTGTCCCGTCCTCTCGGGTTTTTTTTTTTTTTTTTTTTTGAGACGGAGTTTCGCTCTGCTTACCCAGGCTGGAGTGCAATGGCACGATCTCGGCTCACTGCAACTTCCGCCTCCCGGGTCCAGGCAATTCTCCTGCCTCAGCCTCCTGAGTAGCTGGGATTACAGGCACGCGCCACCATGCACAGCTAATTTTTTGCATTTTTAGTGGAGACAGGGTTTCACCATGTTGACCAGGATGGTCTCGATCTCTTGACCTCGTGATCCACCTGCCACGGCCTCCCAAAGCCTCTCGGGTTTTGTTTTGGCATTAGGCTTTCCACCTGCCTCATCCATCTTATAAACGTTTTTGTTCAATGGTTGATTTACAGCTTTGAAACTCAGAGGAATGGACTGGTGTTTATCTATGACATGTGTGGTTCTAATTATGCCAACTTTGAGCTGGATCTTGGCAAGAAAGTCCTAAACCTGCTGAAGGTAAGGCTGTGGGAGGGTCCTTTCAACTTTCCTTTTCAATGCTTGGGATTTTTTTTTATTATTATTATTCTTTGAGAAAAGATTTAGGAATGATGCAAGCTTCAGACATTATGTTCTATGTAAAGGTCTTCTGTAAATGATGACTACTATCTGCCTCCTTAGAACAAGAAATGGTCTTAAAAGTGAAGTGGGACATTATCCACTTTAAATACACAAAATATTGATCAGCCATTATTAATTCCCATTTTAGGAATGAAGTAATATTTCTTTTTCCCTCTTTTTTTTTCTCTTTTTCCCTCTTTTTCTTTCTTCAAAAAAAAAAAGTGAAGTGGGAGGAATTAAAGTAAAAAATATACAGGCACATTCTAAGTCATAAAAGTGGGATGGGATGGGCGCCATGACCCACGCCTGTAATCCCAGCACTTTGGGAGGCTGAGGCACACTTATATGTCTAAGGTGTATATGAAATATACATAAATTTCCTGCTTAGGCTTGGGTCCCATCCCAAGATATCTCATTATGAATATGCAGATATTCCAAAATCTGGAAAAAATTCAAAATATGAAACACTTCTGGTCCCAAGTATTTTGGATAAGGAATACCCAACCTGTGTTACAAATGGTGCTGTTATGAACATTCTTAAACATGTTTTCTGGTTTATACATGTAAAAGGGTCTCTAGGGGAGTGTTTCTCAACCTTCTTTCATTATTGCCTCATTAAGGAGCCTTTTAAACATTTTCCCCTAATAATTCATCTTCTAATGAAATTTTATTACCATAATATACTGTATATCTCTATGTACTCTTTTTAAAATTTATTTTTTATTTATTTTTATTTTTTATTTTATTTTTTTTGACAAGAGTCTCACCCTTGTCGCCCAGGCTGGAGTGCAGTGGTGCAGTCTCAGCTAACTGCAACCTCCATCTCCCAGGTTCAAGCAATTCTCCTGTCTCAGCCTTCTGACTAGCTGGGATTACAGGTTCCCGCCACTACACCTGGCTAATTTTTGTACTTTTAGTAGAGATAGGGTTTCACCATGTTAGCCAGGCTGGTCTCGAACTTTTGACCTCAAATGATCTGCTCACCTTGACCTCCCAAAGTGCTGGGATTACAGGTGTGAGCCACTGCAAATGGCCTTATTTTTTAAATAGAGACAGGGTCAGGCAGGGCACTGTGGCTCACGCCTGTAATCCTAGCACTTTGGGAGGCCAAGGCATGCGGATCACCTGAAGTCGGAGTTCAAGACCAGCCTGACTAACATGGAGAAACCTTGCCTTTACTAAAAATACAAAATTAGCCAGGCATGTTGGCACATGCCTGTAATCCTAGCTACTAGGGAGGCTGAGACAGGAGAATCTCTTGAATCCCGGAAGTGGAGGTTGTGGTGAGCCAAGATTGTACCACTGTACTCCAGCCTGGGCAACAAGAGCAAAACTCCATCTCAAAAAAAAAAAAAAAAAAATAGAGACAGGGTCTCACTATGTTGCCCAGGCTGGTCTTGAACTCCTGGACTCAAGCAGTCCTCCCTCCTTGGCCTCTCAAAGTGCTGGGATTACACTGTGATTGGCCTCTTTATGTACTCTGTATACATACAAAGAGTAAGATTTTTTTTTTTTTGGTTCACCTCACCCTGCTCACCTACTAATTTGACTTCTTTGCTCACCTACTAATTTGACATCTCCCCCATTAAGAATGCATGCTCTAGGGTATAAGCCTAGGATTGGCTTGCTGGGTCCCAAAGTGAAGATTTAACCTTATAGGACAATGTCAAACTGTTTTCCAAAGTGGTTGTACTCACTTGCCATGTGTAAAAATTTCTATTGATCTACATCCTCTCCAGGACTTACTAATGTCAGACTTCTTAATTTTTTCCCCCAATTAAATGGATATGAAATGATATCTTGTGGTATAACTTGCATTTCTTTTATTAGTTAAATTAAGTCTCTTGCCTATTTGTGATTTGTCCATTTAGGAATTAATAGTTTTTAATATATTACTGATTCTAATCCATAAAGAGGTATATATACATATATACACACATAATGTGTGCACACAGTAAACTGTGTCTTAATTTGTAGCTTGTTTTTTCACTTTTTATGAAGTCCTTTTGACTAACAGAAGTCTTTTTTTGTTTCTTTTTTTGAAACCAAGTCTCGCTCTGTCTCCAGGGCTGAGTGCAGTGGCATGATCTTGGCTTACTGCGACCTCTGCCTCCCAGGTTCAAGCAGTTCTCATGTCTCAGCTTCCCAAGTAGCTGGAACTACAGGTGCCCACCACCACACCTGGCTGATTTTTGTATTTTTAGTAGAGATGGGGTTTCACCCTGTTAGCCAGGCTGGTCTCTAACTCTTGATCTCAAGTGATCCTCCCACCTCGGCCTCTCATAGTGCAGGATTACAAGTGTGAGCCACCACGCCCGACTTCAAAAGACTGATTTTTATCTGACATGTCACTCTCTGTTCTCTTCAGTTACCCTTTAGTTCTACTGATTTGGGGAATCCCTAGCACTCCTCTATGGAGAATAAATAGCATCTAGAACAAAATTCTCCAAAGACCTCTTCACTGAAGTGTGATAAACTACTTTCATCTTTTCCTTCAAAGATGCAACAATTTATTTCAGAGCCTAAATGTCCAAGGTCCTTTTAACCACCAAATCAAAGACCATTCTAGGAAAACACCCGTTATTTCCAAAAAATGATAAATAGAAAGTCGGAGCTGCTACATCTCCTTTTTCAGAGCAAAGAACTCTGACATGACTGTCTGGGGGTACCTGCTGCAGTCACCAGATGGGTGGCAGCTTGGTCAGTGGTGAATAGCCTGCAGTCTTCTCCGGTATAAATTACAAAGGATTTACCCCCTAGTCCCAAACCTTTCCTCAAGGGATTAACAGAGAAGCCAGTGATGGTGAAACTTAAGTGGGGAATGGATTACAGAGGCTAACTGGTATCTGTAGGTGAACCAGATCTACAGATGTATCTATATGAAGATGTAGCTTGCAAATACAGGAGAATACATAGTTGGGGTGTTGTCTGGACATCTGGATGAAGTTTTAGTAAAGTATAATACTGTCCTCTGTCTCAGAGGTGTGGAAGAAGAGAAAGAGGATGGGGAAATGAGAGAATAGCATCTTTTCTGGGGGATTTTAAAGTATATATTTCTAGACAATAAAGATTTGTAATAAATAAATGACTGAACTTATATCCTGTCAGTTCAGTAAGTTGGTAACACCTTTTGGAAGGCATCTGGCCTTATAAATCCATGAAAATGCACATACTCTTTGATCAGTTCTATTTCTGAGATTATATGCTAAAGAAACAATCAGGAAAATAAAGATTTATAAAGAGTATTTACTGCACATTTATTTTAGATAATTAAAAATAATAGTTTAAAACTGGAAAGAAGCTGGACCCAGTGACTTACATCTATAATCTTAGCCCTTTGGGAGGCTGAGATGGGAGAATTGCATAAGGCCAGGAGTTCAAGGCCAGTCTAGGCCACATAGCAAGACCCTGTCTGTACAAAATTTAGCTGCTTGTGGTAGTGTGTGCCTATCATCATCCTAGCTACCCAGGAGGCTGAGGCAGGAGGATCACTTGAGCCCAGGATATGAGGCTGCAGTGAGCTATGATTGTATGATTACATTCCAGCCCAGGTAATAAGATCTTGTCTTAAAAAAAAAAAAAGAATATTCATAATCTTTAGCCAAATAATCTCAGTTTTAGAAACAGCTTCTTAAAATAATTTAAAAGGAGGCCAGGCGCAGTGGCTCATCTGTAATCCCAGCACTTTGAGAGGCCGAGACAGGTGGATCACTTGAGGCTAGAAATTCGAGACCAGCCTGGTGAAACCCTGTCTCTGCTAAAAATACAAAAAAGTTAGCTAGGCATGATGGCACACGTCTGTAATCCAGCTACTCAGGAGGCTGAGGCATGAGAATTGGTCGAACCCTTGAACAGAGATCGTGCCACCACACTCCAGCTTGGGCGGCCAAGTGAGACTTTGTCTCAAAAAGAAAATTAAAAGGAAAAGGTAAAATTAGCATATCAGGATTATTAAGGCCTGAAAACAAACCAAATAATCAGAATGATGGTTATGTGGTTAATTAAATTACTTATGGCATATTTACTCCACAGGATATTGTGACTTTGTTGAAACTGACAAATAGAAATCTAAGTTGGGGAAAGGAGGGACTTTTAAATATGTAAAAGTGGGAAACAAAACAGCTACCCATATAGAAAAAAATGTCAGATTCCTACATCTCATACTATGTTCAAAAATCAACTTCAGATAGATTAAAGTCTTAAATAACAAAAATAGGCCACGCATGGAAGCTCACGCCTGGAATCCCAACACTGGGAGGCCAAGGCAGGCAGATTACTTGAGCCCAGGAGTTTGAAACCAGCCTGGGCAACATGATGAAACTATCTGTACAAAGTATAAAAATTAGATAGGCATGGTGGCACATAGTACTTGCGAGGCCAAGGTGGAAAGATCACTTGAGCCCAGGAGGTCAAGGCTACAGTAAGCCATGATGGTGCCACTGCACTCCAGCCTGGGCAACAGAGTCAGACCTTGTCTCAAAAAAACAAAACAAACAAATGAACAAAAAGGACAAAAACAAAAGTTTAAAATTTTAAAAGAAAATAGCTCCTCAAATCTGGACAAGTGGAAACAACCCAAATGACCATCAACAGTTGAATAGATTCGCAAAATACAGTATATTTATGATGAAATATTATTCAGCCTTAGAAAGCAGTATAATTCTGAGACATGCCATAATATGGATTAACCTTGGAAACATTATGCTAAGTAGGATAAACCCGACCAAAAAGGACAAATATAGTAGGATTCCACTAACATGAGGACCTAAAATAAGCAAATTCATAGAGACAAAAAGTAGAACAGAGGTTACTAGGGACTAGGAAAGGAATAGGAAGACATTGTTTAATGGGTACAGAGTTTTCGTTTGCAATGATGAAATAGCTGAAAATGAATAGTGGTGATGGCTGCATCGTGAACATACTTAACACCAATAATTGTACACTTAAAATGGTTTAAGGCTGGGCATGGTGGCTCATGCCTGTAATCCCAGCACTTTAGGAGACTGAGGCAGGTGGATCACCTGAGGTTGGGAATTTGAGATGAGCCTGACCAACGTGGAGAAACCCTGTCTCTACTAAAAATACAAAATTAGCCAGGCATGGTGCAACATGTCTGTAATCCCAGCTACTTGGGAGGCTGAGGCAGGAGAATCACTTGAACCCAGGAGGTGGAGGTTGCAGTGAACCGAGATTGCGCCATGCACTCCAGCCTGGGCAACAATAGTGAAACTCTATCTCTTGGGGAAAAAAATGATTTAAAAAGTAGTTTTGTTGTGTATATTTTCAATAAAAGAAACCACTTAGAAAAATTAATGCACACGGTGGAATCAGTGGCACAGCAGTAAAAAAAATAGTAATTTTTCTGACATTAAAATAGAAAAGGATTTAAGATACAAAACACACTAACTAGAAAACATTAATACATTTGACCATATTAAAATTAAAAACTTCAAGATGGGAGCAGTAGTTTAATGCCTGTAATCCCAGCACTCTGGGAGGCCAAGGTAGGCAGATTACTTGAGGTCAGGAGTTCGAAACCAGCCTTGGCAACATAGTGAAACCCTGTCTCTACTAAAAATACAAAAATTAGCCTAGTGTAGTGGCGCAGTCTCAGCTATTTGGGAGCCTCAGGTGGGAGGATCATCTGAGCCTAGGTGGTACAGGAAGCAGTGAGCTGTGATTGTGCCACTGCACTCCAGCCTGGGTAACAGAGAAAGACTCTATCTCTAAAACAAAACAAAACAAAACAAAACAAAAACAGGACAACCAACCAAACAAAAAAACTAACAACTATGGATTAGGAATGAATGATTTTTCATCTTTATGTCTTGTGTGGATCAGGGTATCTCCTTTTTTAGATCTCATTTGCCATAGTGCATGTTAAATTATATTTATTGATTGGTAAATACATAGATGAACTAATAGATAAAAAAGATTATATATACACAGATTATCAGACTGAATGAAAAGTTATGAAAGAGAAATTTTTAAAATTTCTATTTATTATTTTTAATTTTTTAAAATTATTTTTCTGAGGCAGAGGTTTGCTCTTGTTGCCCAGGCTGGAGTGAAATGGCATGATCTCAGTTCACTGCAACCTCTGCCTCCCGGGTTCAAGTGATTCTCCTGCCTCAGCCTCCTGAGTAGCTGGATTACAGGCATGCGCCACCACACCCAGCTAAGTTTTGTATTTTTAGTAGAGACCGGGTTTTGCCATGTTGGCCAGGCTGGTCTCAAACTCCTGACCTCAGGTGATCCACCCACCTTGGCCTCCCAAAGCACCTGGATTATAGGCATGAGCCACCACGCCTGGTCAGGAAATGTTTAATGTTCAGTTTATTCACGATCTCATTTTTCCTTCAAGTTTTAATAACAGAACTTTTTTAGGAGGCGTATATGTATGCTGATGTGTGATGTGTGTAGGATTTCTGTTGAGATGAGAAGTCAGAATAGTTTCTGATCCATAAAACTTATGGTAGACAAGAACTTAACATTGTTATTTTTAAAGGAAAATCGGCTTCTAATTTCTTTATTTTGTTTAACCACTTTCTCTAGCTGCTGAGGTCAAACCTGAATTAGGCTGTAGACTCCCCCTGCTGGGTAAGAATGGAGAGAAGAGCAGAAAAACCTTAACTGTGGGCTTGAAGTCACAGGTTCCATTATACTCCAATCCTCATGTGTTTTTTCCACAGGGAGCCTTTCCAGCTCGTTTGAAGAAGGTGCTGATTGTGGGGGCACCCATATGGTTCCGAGTGCCCTATTCCATCATCAGCCTCCTCCTGAAGGACAAAGTCCGGGAGAGGGTAAGGCAAGCTCGCCCTTTTTTGTTTGGAGGTGAATAGATACATTCTCATCTCTACTGGTGAATTCCTCCCAATTAATGGGAACTTCAAAAAATCTTCCTGGCATGTCTCCTAGAGCATGTTCTGCTTCTGTTAGTGCATTCACTCACATTATCTACGCACTCACATTATCTACCTGATGCATTAGTCAGCTCATACAGACTGCCTCTCTTACTGTCCTACAAGCTTCTTGAAGTTCAAAACTAGACACAGTTTATCTGGCTCTCACTTTGTCTAGCACCTTGCATAAGATGGTACTGAAGGAATGTGTCCTGGAGGTAACTTAGGGATGGCTACTACTTCCAAAAGTTTTCCTAGTGCTGCATAGCCCTTTAATATTTAGCAGCTTGTAATATAATTGCATTAGCTGAATTGGCATTTGAATTTGTTCAACTGGAAACATCATTCAGTCCCTTTGACCACCAGGGTTGCGGAGGGGAGTTTTTCATAATGTCTCTTTCTACATTTATTCCTGGCATTGTTTTCTCAAAACATGTTTTTCAAAACATTGTTTCTCAAAACATCTTTTTGCTTCCCAATTTCAAAAGCATTCAAAATTACTTTAATTCTGAGCTGAGTATAGTGGCTGACACCTATAATCCTAACACTTTGGGAGACCGAGCGGGAAGATCGCTTGAGGCCAGGAGTTCGAGACCAGGCTGGGCAACATAGTGGGACCCCATCACTACAATAAAACCAAAAACAAATTCTGGGCTGGGTGCGGTGGCTCACGCCTATAATCCCAGCACTTGGGAGGCCAAGGCAGGTGGATCACGATGTCAAGAGATGGAGACCATCCTGGTCAACAAGATGAAACCCCATCTCTACTAAAAATACAAAAATTAGCTGGGCATGGTGGTGTGTGCCTGTAGTCCCAGCTACTCGGGAGGCTGAGGCAGGAGAATTGCTTGAACCCAGGAAGCGGAGGTTGCGGTGAGCCGAGATCGTGCCATTGCACTCCAGTCTGGGTAACAACAGCGAAATTCCGTCTCAAAAAAAAAAAACACACACACACACAAAAACAAAAACAAATTCTTCTATAATCTCCTGAGTGTTCCATGATTAAAGGATTTATGGTCTTAGTTACTGATTGCAGCCATTGAAAGACAGGATGTATGAAAGTGTAGACATTCAGTTCTGTAGAAGCTACTTAGAGACCTAATGATGAAGAGTAGGAGAGAGCTTTTCTTTTTTCTTTTATCTTTCTTTTTTTTTATTTTTTGGCAAACAAGATGGAAAGTCTTTTTCTTTTGAGACGGAGTTTCACTCTTGTCGCCCAGGCTGGAGTGCAATGGCACAATCTCAGCTCACTACAACCTCCACCTCAAGGGGGTCAAGTGATTCTCCTGCCTCTGCTTCCCGAATAGCTGGAATTACAGGTGCCCACCACCACGCCCAGCTAATTCTTGTATTTTTTTAGTAGAGATGAGGTTTCACCATGTTGGCCAGGCTGGTCTTAAGCTCCTGACCTCAGGTGATCCACCCTCCTTGGCCTCCCAAAGTGCTGCTATTACAGGTGTGAGCCACCTTGCCAGCCAGAGAGATCTTTTCTAAGGTAAGTCTTTGAGAGAACTCCATAGGCAAGTCCTTGCTCTTGAATTATAGGAATGATATATGCATGTATAAACTCAAATTAAGCACTTTTTGTAGTCCAAGCACTGGTTCCTGATCATTAAAAATTAAGTGAGATAGTCTTTACCTTCAAGGAGCTCATGGTCTTGATAGGGAAGACAGAGATACACATGTGAGGACTTTGGCTCTGCAGGAACGCAGAGGAGCATATTGCCTGAGGCAGTCAGGGAAGACTTCACAGAAGAGGTGAGCTCTGCTCGTCCACGAAGAGGCAGAGGAGGAAAAGAAGGCATTCCAAGAAGAGACGATGCAAAAGAGATGAGATTTTAGGAGGAACAGCATCCCCATTTCACAGATTCTAAAGAGAACCAGTAAAGCTAGTTTGTTTCAGCATGGCAGTGTCCAAGGAGGGAGCAGAATTAAGTCTTATTATTACTACAAAAAATTAGCCTAGGATGGTGGTGTGTGTCTGTAGTTTCAACTTCTTGAGGGGCCAAGGTGGGAGGATCGTTTGAGCCCAGGAGGTTGAGGCTGCAGTGAGCTGTGATCATGCCACTACACTCCAGCCTGGGTGAAGACGTGAGATGCTGCCTCCAAAAAAAAAGTGCTATCTAACATTTTTCCTGGGCTACCCTGCCTCTGAGTGGCTTGCTGTCATAGATAATCCTATTTTTGCGAACCCCTATATCAAGCTGAGTAAAACACAAGCTAACAGGCCTTAGAATTGGTTGTCTGAAAATGGGGCTGACAAAAATAACTGCTACCTATGCATTCTTAGTGGCCAAAAAAAGAGTACCAGCACACAGAGATGCTGGGAAGCCTTGTTAATAGTATAAAGCCTTTGTTCACTGTATCGTCCTTTCAGAAGATGTATAACAATGTCCCTATTTCCAGGAGTGAATTTTATATATATTTTGGGAGTTCACACTTTTATCTGGCAAATTCAGAGGACTTAAATCTCAGGCAGATGAAATGCAGTCTACAACTTTTACAAGTATACCTTGTATTCCAAGAAAATCTCCTCCCATCCTCCAGACCTTATAGAAACACATATATTCTTTGTCACTCTCTGTATGCCTTTTCCTCCCCCAACATACTCACATGGTTCTTTCTGGCCTTCCAGATTCAGATATTAAAGACATCTGAGGTCACGCAGCACCTGCCCAGGGAGTGTCTTCCAGAAAACCTGGGCGGGTACGTCAAAATTGATCTCGCCACTTGGAATTTCCAGTTCCTACCCCAGGTGAATGGACACCCAGATCCCTTCGATGAGATCATCCTGTTCTCACTCCCTCCTGCCTTAGACTGGGACTCAGTACATGTTCCAGGTCCCCATGCTATGACTATCCAAGAGCTGGTGGACTATGTTAACGCCAGGCAAAAGCAAGGAATCTATGAGGAATACGAAGACATTCGTCGTGAGAACCCCGTTGGCACTTTCCACTGTTCCATGTAAGTAGGAAAGGTTTGAGCCAGCAGTTGGTTACCAAGATACTCTTGGTGGGCTCTGGTTCCTTCCACCCCACACTTGATTAATAAAGACCTTTCCTTGCATTAAGGAGCATCACTCTCACTTAAATGTTGGTTTCTCACATGCAGAAAGAGGTACGTTCTGCTTTGGTGCTTCTTACCATCATCCTATGCTCTGAAATTTCTGGAGGTCTTTGGTACCAATGGGGCAACCCTGTTGGACATATTTTTAGATATTTTCCTGAAATGCAAGTGTTTTTAAAAAGGCAGGCTCAAAATAGGCTACTGTCTCTTCCTGTTCACAGAGTGAATACTGGTCTGTTCATTTGGGCAGTTTCTCCCCATAACATGGCATAACATTACATCTTAAGGAGGGGTATCTGGTACACTTAAAATAATCCATAGTTAGCTGGGCACAGTGACTCATGCCTGTAATCCCAGCACTTTGGAAAGCCAAGGTGGGAGGATCACCTGAGGTCAGAAGTTTGAGACCAACCTGGCCAAGATGGTGAAACCCTGTCTTTATTGAAAATACAAAAGTTAGCTGGATGTGGTAGTGGATGCCTGTAATCCCAGCTACTCAGGAGGCTGTGGCAGGAGAATTGCTTGAACCCAGGTGGCGGAGGTTGCAGTGAGCTGAGATTGCACCACTGTACTCCAGAGCAAGACTCCGTCTCAAAAAAAAAAAATATCCATAGTTAGTAAGAGAGTACAGTTGCCTTATAGGACATTAACCTCTTAAAATTTTCATTCTTAAAAAAAAAAAAAAAATTTCATTCTTTCTAAATCCTATCACAGAACCATCTGGCAGGTCCAGCGTGGTAGCCCACACCTGAATCCCAGCACTTTGGGAGGTCAAGGCGGGCGGATCACCTGAGATCAGGAGTTTGAGACCAGCCTAACCAATATGATGAAACCCTGTCTCTACTAAAAACACAAAAATTAGCTACGTGAAACACTGAGCCAGAGAAAATTGCTTGAACATGGGAGGCAAAAGTTGCAGTGAGCCGAGATCATGCCATTGCACTCCAGCCTAGGCAACAAGAACAAAACTCTGTCTCAAAAACAAATTAAAAAACCCCATCTGGCTAGTTCATAACTCTGGCTCATAACTACTTGATAACTATTGTTGGCCACAGAACATAGATCCTTCCTTTCTTTCTTCCTCCCTCCCTTCCTCTTTCTTTTTTCTTTCTTTCTTTTTTTTTTTTTTTTTTTTTTTTTTGAGACAGTCTTGCTCTGTCGCCCAGGCTGGAGTGCAATGGCACAATCTCGGTTCACTGCAACCTCTGTCTCCTGGGTTCAAGCAATTCTCTTTGCCTCAGCCTTTCAAGTAGCTGGGATTACAGGCCTGCACCACCATACCTGGCTAATTTTTGTATTTATAGTGGAGCTGGGGTTTCACCATGTTGGCCAGGTTGGTCTCAAACTCCTGACCTCAGGTGATCTGCCCACCTCAGCCTCCCAAAGTGCTGGGATTACAGGCATAACCCACCACACCCAGCCTCTTCTTTTCTCTTTGCCTCCTTTTCTTCTTCTTTTTTTTTTTTTTGAGACAGAGTCTTGGTCTGTTGCCAGGCTGGAGTGCTGTGGCGTCATCTCGGCTCACTACAACCTCCACCTCCCAGGTTCAAACAATTCTCCTGCCTCAGCCTCCCAAGTAGCTGGGATTACAGGTATGTACCACCACGCCTGGCTAATTTTGTATTTTTAGCAGAGACAGGGTTTCATCGTATTGACCAGTCTGGTCTCGAACTCCTGACCTTATAATCCATCTGCCTTGGCCTCCCAAAGTGTTGGGATTACAGGCATGAGCCACCACACCTGGCCTTCTTTTCTTTTCTTCTGTTCTTTTCATTTCCTCGAATTCCTAGGTTCAAGTGATCCTCTTACCTCAGCCTCCTGAGTAGTTGGGACTACAGGCATGTGCCACTATGCCCAGCTAATTTTTTATTGTTTGAAGAGATGGACTTTGCCATGTTGCCTGGGCTGGTCTCAAACTCCCAGACTGAGGTGATCGTCCTGCCTTGATCTCTCAAAGTGTTGAGATTACAGGGGTGAGCCACTGCACCTGGTCAGATTATTATTGCTCTCATTTCTCTTACCATGTTTTAATTGGCTGCCCCAGAAATCTCTCTCCAACTAGTGAGCTATGTCTGTTGAAAACTATAGAAACTATGGGTGGGTACAGTGGCTCATACCTGTAATCTCAGCACTTTGAGAGTACATGGTATAGGAGGATTATTTGTGCCTAGGAGTTTGAGATCAACCTGAGCAGCATAGCAAGAACCCATCTCTACAAAAATAAAAACCAACAAGATTAGCCAGGCTGATCCCGAACTCCTGAACTCAAGTGATCTGCCTGCCTCGGCCTTGCAAAGTGCTGAGATTAAAGGCATGAGCCACTGTGCCCGGCTTCTCTTGCATCTTGAATGAGGGAAGTACATTGGAGCAGGAAGGCTTGCTGGGCTGATCCAAGAGGATGCACACTTATCCTGGGGATTCTTTACCTTGCTCTTGATGCTTCTGCAACTACCAACTGCTGTGAGGTCCTTGAGATGTCATTTCTACTGTAGGGTCTCCCCCCTCCATTGAATAAGTGGGTTTAGATCTTCTTGGCATCATCCAAACCAGCTACCATTTGACAATCAGAGATCCCTCATTCAATGAGAGGACTTCCTAGTCTTGCCTGTTGAATGATTGATTCCCCAATTTGTTATTTAGAACCTAGAATCCTCATCAGCCCCAGGCCTCCGTCTTACACCAACTCCCAGTAGAGCTACTTACACAGAACAAACTATGTTTCCCTTGGAATTCTGGATTATGAAGTGGATATCAGTGTACATTCACTCTTACCCAGGATTCCCCTGAACCAAGAGACTTTCTTTCCCTTTTCTCTTATTACTTTTTCTTATAATTGTAGATTCACTTGTAGTTTTAAGAAGTAATAGAGACAGATCACATGCACCCTTTCTACAGTTATCCCATGGTAACATCTTCCAAAACTGTAGTGTAATATCACAGCCAGAGTATTAACACTGATACAGTCCACCAATCTGATTTAGACTTCCCCAGTTTTACTTTGTTTGTGTGTATTTACTTCTCTGTGGTTTTGTCACACGTGTAGGTTTGTGTATCTGTCACCATAGACAAGATACAAAGAGTTCTGTCAACACAAGGCTCCCCTTGTTGCCCTTCAATATTTTAATATTTATTTAGTTAGTTTGAGACAGAGTCTTGTTCTGTCACCCAGGCTGGAGTACAATGACGTAATCTTGGCTCACTGCAACCTCTGCCTCCCAGGTTCAAGTGATTTTTCTTGCCTTACCTTCTCAAGTAGCTGGGACTACAGGCATGTGCCACAATGCCCAGCTAATTTCTTTTCTTTTCATTTTTTGAAACTGAGTTTTGCTCTTGTCACCCAGGCTGGAGTGCAGTGGGCGATCTCGGCTCACTGCAACCTCTGCCTCCCAGGGTTAAGCGATTCTGCTGCCTCAGCTTCCCAAGTAACTGGGATTGTAGGCGCCCACCACCACGCCTACAGCTAATTTTTGTATTTTTAGTAGGCAGGATTTCACTGTGTTGGCCAGGCTGGTCTCGAACACTCCTGACCTGTGTCCACCCACCTTGGCCTCCCAAAGCGCTGTGATTGTAAGCGTGAGCCACTATGCTTGGCTTCGTTGCCCTTTAATAAACAGACACCTCCTTCCCACCACCTCCCTATTCCTAACCCCTGTAACCACTAATCTGTTCTCCATTTCTGTATAATTTTGTGTTTTCCAAGTTGTTGTTATATAAAATAACATTATATAAAACTTATAAAAAATTACATACATTATGTAATCTTTTAGGATTGCTTTTATTCACTAGGCATATTTGTATGGGAAGGGGGAGACTCTTTTTTTAGACAGAGTCACTCTGTCACCCAGGTAGGAGGCATGATCTTGGTTCACTGCAATCTCCACCTCTCAGGTTCAAGTGATTCTCCCGCCTCAGTCTCTCAAGTAGGTGGGCTTACAGGCACCTGCCACCATGCCTGGCTAATTTTTTTTTTTTTTTTTCAGTAGAGACAAGGTTTCACCATATTGGCTAGGTTGGTCTTGAACTCCTAACCTCAGGTAATCTGACAGCCTGAGCCTCCCAAAGTGCTGGGATTACAGGCATAAACCACTATGCTTGGCTGAAATTTTTTAAGATAGAGAAAAGTACATAGTATGACACTGGAAATAACTATATGTTTGTACCATGGGATCAACACTGACTATTGTTAATATTTTGTTATATTTGCTTTATCTTTTTTTTTTTTTTTTTGAGATGGAGTTTCGCTCTTGTTGCTCAGGCTGGAGTGCAATGACCTTGACTCACTGCAACCTCTGCCTCCTGGGTTCAAGTGATTCTCCTGCCTCAGCCTACCAAGTAGCTGGGATTACAGTTGCCTGCCACCATGCCCTGCTAATTTTTATTTTAGTTTATTTTTTGAGACAGAGTTTCACTCTTGTTGCCCAGCCTGTAGTGCAATGGTGCAGTCTCGCTCACCGCAACCTCCACAGTCCTGCGTTCAAGCACTTCTCCTGCCTCAGCCTCCCAAGTAGCTAGGATTACAGGCATGTGCCACCACACCTGGCTAATTTTGTATTTTTAGTAGAGATGGGGTTTCTCCATGTTGGTCAGGCTGGTCTCAAAGTCCCGACCTCGGGTGATCTGCCTGTCTTGGCTTTTCAAAGTGCTGTGGTTATAGGCATGAGCCACCGTGCCTGGCCAATTCTTTGTATTTTTAATAGAAACAGAGTTTTGCCATGTTAGGCACGCTGGTCTCAAACTCATCTCAGGTGATCCACCTGCCTCTGCCTCCTAAAATCTTGGAATTGCAGACATGAACCACCACACCTGGCCTTTTTTTTTTTTTTTTTTTTAAGAGAGACACGTTCTTGCTCTGTCACACAGGTTGGAGTGCAGGCGCAGTGGCACTATCATAGCTCATGGCAGCCTCAACCTCCTGGGCTCAAGTGATTTTCTTGCCTTAGCCTCCCTCGTAGCTGGGACTAGAGGCATGGGCTAGCATACCTGGCCAATTTTTTTGAAGTTTTTGTAGAGATGAAGTCTTGCTCTGTTGCCCAGGCTGGTCTCAAATCCTGGGCTCAAGTGATTCTCCCGTCTCAAAGTGCTGGGATTTTAGGCATGAGCCACCGTGCCCAGCTGCCTTTTTTTATTATTATACAAGAGAAAAAAATTATTATAAAGTTGAAATTTCTTGTAATCCTCATCCTTACCTCTCCCCACTCATCATAAGCAACTACTAGTATGAACATAGTGTTTCTTTCTAGTTCATTTTGTTTATACTGTTATATATACATAAGCACTAATGAATAATATAAAGTATTATTTTATATGTGTGACCTTTGTAATTTCTTTGCTTTCAGTTAATGTATACAAATAATTTTTTTCAAAACCAAAAAGTACTAAAGAAGAAAAGCAATGACAAAATAAATAGCCAAATCCTGTTTTACCCTCAATTCCACTACCTATAATCATGTTTTCAACTCTTATAGCTGTTTTCCCTGGTATTTCATCCCTAATTCTAAATTAAAATGCTTATCATATGCCAGGCACAGTGGCTAACGCCTGTAATCTCAGCACTTTGGGAGGTTGAGGTGGGTAGATTGTTTGAGCTTAGGATTTCAAGACCAGCCTGAGCAACATGGTGAAACCCTGCCTCTGCAAAAAATACAAAAATTAGCTGGGTGTGGTGGTGTGTGTCTGTAGTCCCAGCTACTTGGGAGGCTGAAGTGGGAAGCTCCCTTGAACCTGCAGTAAGCCAAAATTGTGCCACTGGACTCCAGCTTGAAACACAGAGTGAGGCCCTGTCTCAAAAAAAAGAAGCACACTATGATACTTTTCACTGAGTTTTATTGGAGGTGGGCATTTAGCTCTTATACTATGTCTCCACTTTCCTTTTGACTACTCTTACAGTATACAGCAATTATATGTAACATTCTTAAATTGAATCAGTAGTCATTGAACATATTAGGACTATGTAAATTATTTTTACTGGAGAGCTACATGGACTACTATGAAATGATCAAATATTTAACAATTATTTTAAAAGATTAAAATATAAACGTTATTTCTCAACATAAGCTCCATCAAGTTTAAGATACCTTTGTAATACTAGCCATTTAGTCCATCCATAACTGAGGAACTTAGCCATGTCAATGCAGTCTTTTTCATACTTCACATTAACTGAGGAAAAATGGGTGCATTTTGTAGATTTTTTTTTAAGATTAGGAAACAAAAAGAACTCAGAAGGAGCCAAATCAGATCTGAACAATTTTTTTTTTTTAATGTATTTTTAGTAGAGATGGGATTTCACCATGTTGGCCAGGCTGGTCTCAAAATCCTGGCCTCGAGTGATTCACATGCCTCAGCCTCCCAAAGTGCTAAGATTACAGGTGTGAGCTTCTACACCTGGCCTTTTTTGAGACATGCTGTGTCACTCTGTCACCCAGATTGGAGTGCTGTGGCTCTATCTCAGCTCACTGCAACCTCAGCTTCCCAAACTCAAGCCTCAGCCTCCAGAGTAGCTGGGACCACAGGCACGCTCCACCACACCTGGCTAATTTTTCTTTTTTTTTTGGAGACGGAGTTTCATTCTTTGTTGCCCAGGCTGGAGTGCAGTGGTGGGATCTTGGCTCATTGCAACCTCTACCTCCCAGGTTCAAGCGATTCTCCTGTCTCAGCCTCCCGAGTGGCTGAGTTCATAGGTGCCTGCCACCACGCCTGGCTAATTTTTGTATTTTTAATAGAGACAGGGTTTCACCACGTTGGCCAGGCTGGTCTCAAACTCTTGACCTCAGGTGATCCTTTGGCCTCAGCCTCCCAGAGTACTGGTATTACGGGTGTGAGCCACAGTGCCCGGCCACCTGGCTAATTTTTTGTATTTTTGGTGGAGAACAGGGCTTTGCCATGTTGCTCAGGATGGTCTGAAACTCCTGAGCTCAGGCCATCCACCTGCCATAGCCTCCCAAAGTACTGGAATTGTGGGCATTAGCCACTACACCTGGCCTAATAATATTATCAATTCAATTTTTTGTTTCTTCTAGAGTTAATTACCTGATTTTTTCATTGCCTTTAGTTTTCTGTATATCTATCCTCATTATTTTTCTTTTTGTTGTTGTGTTTTTGAGATGGAGTCTTGCTCTATTGCCCAGGCTAGGGTACAGTGTCACGATCTTGGCTCACTGCAACCTCCACACCCTGGATTAAAGTGATTCTCGTATCTCAGCCTCCTCCTCAGTAGCTGGGATTATAGGCACTCTTTACCTCGCTCTGCTAACTTTTTTTCGGTATTTATAGTAGAGATAGGGTTTTGCCATGTGGGCCAGGCTGGTTTCAAACTCCTGACCTCAAGTTATCTGCCCACCTTGGCCTCCCAAAGTGTAGGGATTATGGGTATGAGCCACCTTGCTTCGTTATTTTTCTATATGCCTAATCAGATTTATTTTACGCTGTCATTAGTTTCCAAGTGGTTGAATGTATCAGATAATCAATTGCTTCCATTTTTTTTCCAGAGACTCACTTTCAGAACCTTTTTTTCTTTTGTTCTAGTCTAAACTGTGGTTGGTTATTATCTAGGCTTGCTCCTCAGTTTTTATCTTGTAATTTCCCGGTTTCCTTTGTTGGATCTTCTTTCCTAATTGTAGAACATCTTCTTTCTTTACCTTTATTCTATTTTGCTACAGTATAGAACTCTAGGTTGGAAATAATTTTATCTCAGAATTTTTTAAGGCGATGCCATACTGATTACTAGTGATGCTGTGAATTATCTGATCTTTCTCCATTCATTCATTCATGACTCCTGTTACCCAGGCTGGAGTGCAGTGGCACAATCTCGGCTCACTGCAACCTCCACCTCCTGGGTTCAGGTGATTCTCCTGCCTCAGCCTCCTGAGTAGCTGGGACTACAGGTGTGCACCATCATGCCCAGCTAATTTTTGTATTTTTAGTAGAAACATGGTTTTACCATGTTGGCCAGGCTGGTCTCCAAGTCCCGACCTCAGGTAATCTCCCCTTCTCAAGTCTCCCAAAGTGCTGAAATTGCAGGGGGTGAGCCACTGCACCCAACCTAAATTTCTTAAACAAAATGTCCAGGGAAGAAAAAAGAAAAACAGTAAATCATTTAAAAGGATTGAAAGAGGCCAGGCATGTTGGCTCATGCCTGTAACCCCAGCACTTTGGGAGGCCAAGAAGGGTAGATCACCTGAGGTTAGGAGTTCAAGACCAGCCTGGACAACATGGTGAAACGCCATCTCTACTAAAAATATAAAAATTGGGCCGTGTGTGGTGGCGCATGCCTGTAATCCCAGCACTTTGGGAGCGAGAAGGTGGATCACCTGAGGTCAGGACTTCGACACCAGCCTGGCCAACATGGTGAAACCCCATCTCTACTAAAAATACAAAATTAGCTGGGTGTGGTGGCGCATGCCTATAATCCCAGCTACTCAGGATGCTGAGGCAAGAGAATCGCTTGAACCCGGGAGGTGGAGGTTGCGGTGAGCCAAGATTGCGCCATTGCACTCCAGCCTGGGCAACAAGAGCAAAACTCCATCTCAAAAAATTAATAAGTAAATAAATAAATATTAGCCAGGGATGGTGGCAGGCTCCTATAATCCCAGCTACTCGGTAGGCTGAGGCAGGAGAATCACTTGAACCTGGGAGGTGGAGGTTGCAGTGAGCCAAGATCGCACCACTGCACTTGAGCCTGGGGGACAGAGTGAGACTCTGTCTCAAAATAATAATAATAATAATTCACAATGATGTACCTTAGTGTAGGTCCTCTTTAAAAACTTACTATATTGGTTACTTCATAGATTCTTTTAATCTGAAGGCTTGTTATTCAGTTCTAGGACTTTTTTTGTTACATTATTTTTTAAATGATTTTTTTTCTTGCATTATGTTAGTTTTCTCTCTAGACTTGCCCTTTATGCCTGCTTATAGCAATGTAGGCTTTTTCTGCATGCACTTCCAAACTCTATCAGCTCTATCCATTACCCAATTCCAAATCTGCCTACACATTTTTAGTTACAGCAGCACCACACTTCTTAGTACCAATTTCTGCCAAAGTAGAAATTGGGAGTGGGGACTCCTATCCCCACTCTTTCTTTTTAAATTAAATTAAATTTTTTATTATTTTATTTTATTGAGATGGAATCTGTCTTCATCACTTAAAGGAGTATAGTGGTGTGATTTTGGCTCACTGCAACCTCCGCCTCCCTGATTCAAGCGATTATCCTGCCTCAGCCTACTGAGTAGCTGGGATTACAGGTGTGCACCACCACACCTGGCTAACTTTCATACTTTTAGTAGAGATGGGGCATTATCATCTTGGCCAGTCTGGTCTTGAACTCCTGACCTTAGGTGATCCACCCACATCGGCCTCCCAAAGTGCTGGGATTACAAGCATGAGCCACTAAGTCCAGCCTCTCTTTTTTTTTAGAGTCAGGGTTTCTCTTTGGGCTGGAGTGCAGTGGCACCATCATAGCTCACTGCAGCCCTGACCTCCTGGGCTGAAGCGATCCTCCCACCTTAGATTCCTGAGTAGCTAGGACTACAGGTGTGTGCCATGATGCCCGGCTAATTTTTTAACTTCTTTGTAGAGATAAGCTCTCATTACATTTCCTGATTACAAACTTCTGGCCTCAAGCAATTCTCCAGCCTCCCAAAGTCCTGGGAGTAAAGGTGTGGACCACCGTGCCTGGCCTCCCTCTCTTTTGAAAGGAGATATGTTTATTTTTAGAAGTAATATGTACTTAGCATAAAAAATGTTTAATGATATGAAACTGTATGGGCTAGAGATTGAAAAGCTTCCATGTCTCCACCCCTGGAGTAACTGACACTCCTTTTGTATGGTCAGACTTTGCACATACTTACTGTTCCCACTTTTTCTTTATTCTTGCTTGTTTGTTTCATTTCCTTCAGGTCTCCAGGAAACCTAGAGAAGAACCGTTATGGGGATGTGCCCTGCCTGGACCAAACTAGAGTGAAGCTAACAAAGCGAAGTGGCCATACTCAGGTAGACAGATCAATGTTATCTTTCCAGGTGCACTGGGGGAAATTGAGCTTCTTCCAAAGTGAAGCTTACTAATACTATAGTAGCATGAAAGTAGACTCCAAGGCCAGAGAAATTAGGTTTCAGTTCATATTTTACTACACACTAGTCTATGACCATAGGCAAGTCCTCAAATGCCTGCCTCACAGTATTGAGTGGAAATTAAATGAAATTCTTATGTGAATGCTGATAGTGCAAGGTCTGATATATTATAGGTGCTTCATAGATGTTAAAGTATTTCTCCTTTTACTCCTTAGTAGAGAATTATGGTCGTAGAGTCCAATTCCTTTGGTGAGTATATATGCATCAATACAAGGCAACCCTGATTGTAAGTGACCTCTGATTTCTCCATCTGTATCTGGGGAAATTGTGGACAACTTACGTATACCTAAATGTCTAGAGATACAGATGAAATGGTCAAATGACTATATTATTTAATGTGTAAATTTGATTATATATTGAAAACCTCATATGTAATATATTAACAGATATTTAGTGAACATTTTATTCAAACACTTCACATACACCTTTAACTTTAGCGTCTGTCACGTTTTTTTAATTCATCCTGCATCTTATGCATCCCCTATAATGTGATTCATTCACTTATTCTTTTGTAAAATCCTTTAAAAAAAATAGAGACAGGGTCTCACTCTGTCACCCAGGCTGGAGTGCAATGACTTGATCATAGCCCACTGCACCCTTGAACTCCTGGGCTCAAGCAATCCTCCCACCTCTATCTCCTAAGTAGCTGGGACTATAGGCGCATGTCATTACACCTGGCTGATTTCTTTAACTTTTTGTAGAGATAGGGTCTCTGTTGGCCAGTTCCTCCTGGGCCAGTTCTGTTGACCAGTTCTTCCTGGGCTCAAGCAAGCCTCTCACCTTGGCCTCCCAAAGTGCTGGGATTACAAGCATGAGCCAATGTGCCTGGCCATAAATTCCTTTTTAATATAACTTGTTTACAGCAACGACCTTAGAATTTTGAGATGAATGACTAAATTGTTATCATCCTTTTTTTCCCCCTTCTGATATACCAGTTTTGTTAGGTGATCTCTCTAAGCATCAAAAAAACCCAGCATTGCCAGGCGTGGTGGCTCACGCCTGTAATCCCAGCATTTTGGGAGGCTGAGGTGGGTGGATTACGAGGTTAGTAGTTCAAGACCAGCCTGGCCAACATGGTGCAACCCTGTCTCTACTAAAAACACAAAATTAGCGGGTGTGGTGGCACGTGCCTATAATCCCAGCTATTCAGGAGGCTGAGGCAACATAATCTCTTGAACCTGGGAGCTGGAGGTTGCAGTGAGCTGCGATTGTGCCGTTGCACTCCAGCCTGGGCAACGAGAGCAAAACTCCATCTCAGAAAAAACAAACCAACAAACAACACAGCATTGACTGAGGTGTTGTTCAAGGTAAAGTAATTTAAATAGTGCCTCTTTAACATGAACACATTATAAGGATTTGTTATATCCCTTCTCTTTCTAGGGGTAAGTTTTGGAAAATCGTTGCCTTGTATTTGGGCATATATGATATGTGGGTTCGGACCCCAGGATTATGGTTTCCAATTCTCTTGTCCCTACTGTTTCAAGCACATAAACTTAATTCATAGTCCTGTCCAGGACCCCTGGAGATTTTCCTGCAGGAGGAGAATTTGATCTGAGACTGGCTGGCTAGAGGGTAAATTCATCAGTACTGCTGAGATCTTCATTGTATGTGTGCTGAAGGAGTAAGGTGCAGTAGTTTAGTTGGGGCTCTGGAGTCGGAGATATCTGTATTCATCCATTTTGTTGACTTTCCAGTCTCCAGAACCTAGAACAGTGCATGGCATGTATCAGACACTCGGGACTTATTTGTGAATGAGTGAATCTTGGTTTACTGGGGACTCTTCTCGTCATCCTGTGGTTACTGTGAAGATCATTGTCTGATTTGTAGTCCCTGTCATTACTGAAACATTAGTGGAGGCTTTATTTTACAGCAAATGGGATATTTAGGTTTTTTATTTTTATTTTTTTTATTTTTTACATTAAATTCTTTACTTTGAGGGACAGGGAAAGTGAAAAAAAATTATTTGCTTAGCTTTGGGGACTTAATACTCTCAGGGTGTTTCTACCCTTGGGGTTAGTTTCCTCATGTTTCCTGACATTTAGTTATTTTTAAATTTTAATTGATAAAAATTGTATATATTTATGGTATACAGTGTAATATTTTAAAATACATATGCATTGCAGAGTAGCTAAGTCAAGCTAGTTAACATATGCATTACTTCACATATTTACCTTGTTTTGTGGTGAAAACACTGCTCTCCATGCCAGGCGTGGTAGCTCACGCCTGTCATCTTTTTAGGTGCACTGGGGGAGGCAGTTTGGGAGGTCGAGGCGGGCAAATCACAAGGTCAGGAGTTTGAGACCAGCCTGAACAAAATTGTGAAACCCCATCTCTACTAAAAATACAAAAATTAGCTGGTGTGGTGGCAGGTGCCTATAATCCCAGTTTCTCAGGAGGCTGAGGCAGGAGAATCACTTGAACCCATTAGGAGGAAGAGTTGCAGTGAGCCAAGATTGCGCCATTGCACTCCTAGCCTGAGTGATAGCGCAAGACTTCGTCTTAAAAAAAATCTGGCGGGTCGTGGTGGCTCACGCCTGTAATCCAAGCGATTTGGAGGCGGGTGGAGGACCTGAGGTCGGGAGTTCAAGACCAGCCTGACCAACATGGTGAAACCCATCTTGAAAAAAAAAAAATCTGCTCATGTGTAATTTTCAAGTATACATTACCTTGTTTTTTTGGAGGATTCAGGTTTTTTAGTGAATTGTTCACTTCAGTTCCTTCTGAAATTTTAAAACAGTCCAATTTTCTATTGAACATGGCTGCCCTAATCTGTTTGGGCTGCTGTAACAAAAATACCACATGCAGGATGGCTTAAAAACAACAGAAATTTTATTTCTTAATATGGTGGAGTCTCGGAAGTCCCAAGACTAACATGCTGGCAGATTTGTGGTCTAGCAAGGGCCCCTTTCTTGGTTCACTGACCACCAGGTACTCACTGCATCCTCCCATGGCATAAGGGGAAGGGCCGAGGGAGTGCTTCAGAACTCTTCTATCTTATAAAGATAATAATCCCATTTGTGAGAGCTCTGTCCTCATGGTCCTCATGACCTAATCACCTGTCAAAGGCCCCATCTCCTAGTACCACTACATTGGGGGTTAGGGGCTGGGATTTCAGTGTATACATTTGAAGTCATGGGGGACACAATATTCAGTCTATAGCAGTGGCCCATAACATAGTGTGCCGGGTTTAGTTCTTCATACTATTACAATTTGCCCCCAAGTATATACTTTGTCTCTGGGTCATTTTCAGTTTTAATAGGCAATGATTCTTCCAAAGATGAAATAAAAATCAGCACTCTCAGAGACCAGTGCTAAAGCTAGTAATTCTTAATTATAAAGAAATAATGGACCGGGCGCAGTGGCTCACGCCTGTAATTCCAACTCTTTGGGAGGCTGAGGCAGGCAGATCACAAGGTCGAGAGATTGAGACCATCCTGGCCAACATGGTGAAACCCTGTCTCTATTAAAAAATATAAAAATTGGGCTGGGCGTGGTGGCTCAAGCTTGTAATCCCAGCACTTTGGGAAGCCGAGGCAGGTGGATCACGAGGTCAAGAGATCGAGACCATCCTGGTCAACATGGTGAAACCCCGTCTCTACTACAAATACAAAAAATTAGCTGGGCATGGTGGCGCATGCCTGTAATCCCAGCTACTCAGGAGGCTGAGGCAGGAGAATTGCCTGAACCCAGGAGGCGGAGGTTGCGGTGAGCCAAGATCACGCCACTGCACTCCAGCCTGGCTCTGGTGACAGAGCAAGACCGTTTCAAAAATAAAATAAAATAAAATAAACAATGTCTTCTTTAAAGAAGTAACAATTCTTTTGTGTTTAAAGCATGAAATTAGTTCCTACTTATGTTCTTACTAATGTTGACTGGCATACACCAGGTAAATCTTTTGTACTTTTCCATACCTTCTCCCCTTGGTCCTAGAGAGGGTATGCCCTTTCTATGTGTCAGGTTGAGTAGAGGATGGGCTTTGGCTGACTGGGTGCACCCTGGATTGAGAAGCCTGTTTGGAGTTAGTGAGGCTTTTAGCATGCTGGGTCTGCTGCAGGTGGTCTATTAGCTCAGTGAAGTTGTCTGAATCAGGGTAGGATGGTAATAGTATGAGGGTAATACTAGCTGCTGTGGGAGGGAAAACTCTGAGTTTGTCATTCCACTATTTATTTATAGGTTCTAAGGAGGAAACTCTTGACTAAATAAATAGTAGAGTGATCAATTGGTAGACTGACCGGTTAATGGACACAAATTCAAGTAACCTGGGTTTGACCATGAGGTGATATCTTAGGAGGTTAGCTATGGGATACTGACAGTTCACACTGTCCTCCCAGTGATGGGATCCACTGGAGAAAGAGTGATAGGTTGAGGAAAGAGTCAGTCTGACCTCTCTATAGTACAGTGAGTTATCAGTTTTCCGTAGTTTGCTATTGAAACTTCTTTTTTTTATCCTTCTGTAACCCTTCATACCTTCCCTTATCCATTCTACTTCCTACATCCGTCCATCTCTCAACTAGCTATACTACAGCATGAAACTGCAGCTGATCACTGTTTCTCTTTTATCAGCCTGGATGAAAGGATCTTGTGAGTAGGTATAATAAAAAATGATGTTGAAGTAAATAGGTCTGAGGACATTAAGAGGTAGGAGAAGACTCTAGAAGAGAGAGTCAGGAGCTGTTAATTGAGACACCTTTGAATTTGACTGGAAGTTGCTTTGCGTTAATTGAGGTAGTAATGGAGTCTAGCTGTTTGGCCTGTCCTGTTGATGGTCCCATGTATGAGGTGTAGCTTTCTTCCTTCTCTATTCACATGTTGCCTTTTGTGTATGGCAGGATGGGCCAGATGTTCCTGCTTGCTTGCCGTGCTACAGTGTTGCAAGTCCTGATGGACCCTTTTCTTGTAAATAAGAGTTTCTATTGAGATATAGTTCACATACCATACAGTTGACCTATTTGAAGTATACAAGTCAGTGGCTGTTAGTATAGTCACAGAGTTGTGCAACCATCACCACAGTCAACTAGAACATTTTTTTTCATTCCCCAGAGAAAATACACACCCTTGGCAGTCACTGCCCACTTCCCTCTAACCCACCCTAGCTTATTTCTTATATCCATAGATTTGCCTGTTCTAGGGATCTCATACAAAGACAGTCCTAAGATATGTAGCTTTTTGTGTCTGGCTTCTTTCACTTAGTGTAATGTTTTCTAGGTTCATCCATGCCGTAGCATATATCATCACATAACTCCTTTTTACTGCCAAATAATACTCCATTGTATGGATATACAACATTTTATTCATTTCAGTTGAAGGACATTTGAGTTGTTTCCACTTTTGGCTATTATGAATAATGCTGCTATGGATATTTATGTATAAGTTTTTGTATGGACACATGTTATCATTTTGCTCAGGCTGCTGGGTCATATGGTAACTGTTTAATCTTTTCAGGAACAACCAGACTGTCTTCTATAGTAACTGTGCCATTTTACATTACCACTAGCAATGTATAAGTACTGTATATACATGTATGAGGGTTTCAGTTTTTCCACATCCTTGCCAACAATATTATCCATCTTTTATACCTGTAGTCATCCTAGGGGGTATAAATTAGTATCTTGTGGGTTTTTTTTTTTGTTTTTTTGAGACAGTCTTGCTCTGTTGCCCAGGCTGGCGTGCAGTGGCGCAATCTTGGTTCACTGCAACCTCTACCTCCTGGGTTCCTGGCCTCAGCCTCCAGAGCAGCTGGGACTACAGGTGCGTGTCATCACGCCTAGCTAATTTTTTGTATTTTTAGTAAAGATGGGGTTTCACCATATTGGACAGGGTGGTTTCAAACTCCTGACCTCATGATCATCTGCCTCAGCCTCCCAAAGTACTGGGATTATAGGTGTGAACCATCATGCCCAGCTGTATCTCATGGTTTTTATTTGCATTTTCCTCATGGCTAATGATGATCTTTTCATGTGCTTATTGGCTATTCATATATCTTCTTTGGAAAAATAGCTGTTCATCTCTTTTGCCCATTTTTAAATTGGGTTGTTTATGTTTTAATTATTGAGTTACAAGAGTTCTTTATGTATTCTAGATACAAGTCCCTTACCAAATACATGTGTTCTGTGGGTTGTTTTACTTTCTTGATGGTGTTGTTTAGTTTTGTTTTGTGTTTTTTGATACAGTCTCACTCTGTTGCCCATGCTGGAGTGCAGTAGCATGTTCTTGGCTCACTGCAATCTCTACCTCCTGAGTTCAAGTGATTCTTGTGCCTCAGCCTCCTGAGTAGCTGGGATTCCAGGTGCATGCCACCATACCCAAATAATTTTTGTATTTTTAGTAGAGATGGGGTTTTACCATGTTGGTCAGGCTGGTCTCAAACTTCTGGCCTCAAGTAATCCACCTGCCTTGGCCTCCAAAAGTGCTGTGATTACAGGCATGAGCCACTATGTGGGGCCTTGATATTAAAATTTAAAACTTTTGAAGCACAAAAGATTTTAATTTTAATACAGTCCAATTTATCTCTTTTGTCATTTATGCCTTTGGTGTCATATCTGTGAAGGCTTTGCCTAAACCAAGGTCACAAAGATTTACTCTTATATTTTATGCTGATAATTTTAACTCTTACATTTGGTCTGTGATCCATTTTGAGTCAATTTTTGTGCATGGTGTGAGGAAGGAGTCAGCTTGATTTTTCTACATGTAGATATCCACTTGTCTCAGCAACATTTATTGAAGTGAGGTTTTCAGCTGGCCATTTCACTCTTCATTTTCTGCTCAAGAAGAGGAGAATATTTACACCTTGGGTTTTACTTACCAAGTACATCATTTTATGACCCAAATGGTATATTCTGTACAGCTGTAGTGATGTCTCCTTTTTATCATTAGACAGATTACATCAATGCCAGTTTCATGGATGGCTACAAGCAGAAGAATGCTTACATTGGCACACAAGGTAAGCTGATCCATCTCCCCCATGCTGGTTTTGTGCCATCTACTTAAGATTCCTTGTGCCAAATGATGGCATAATTTTTAAAGGAATAGTAACTTCAGTGGAGGTTTTGGCCACTAGATCCTGGCCTTCCATAAAGATTGGTGGTGGTTGAGAAAAGCAGATAAGTAGTTTGGGGTTTCTGTACCAGATGTGCCTAGAAACTCATCATATAGAGATAGATAAACTGGAGATTTAAATACATAACACTACTGCCTTCAGGTTTTGGGGTTAGGCTTAGCATTGGCAAGGGTGTAAGGCATCAGAACTCATCAGCCAGCTCTTCATACTCTTCCTGTCTAGTAAGAGGCCAAGAATAGCAGTGGACTTCTCAGAGATTTAGTTCAATCTAGGAATGAGTATTGATGTCCTAACAGGCCTTGGCTGGTTCCTGTACCATCACTGAGCATTCCAGCAAATGTTCTGACATAGATAGTATGTGCTAATAGGTCTGACAGTGAAATACTGAGCTCTAGAAGAATTTCTCGTTTGTTTGTTTTTTTTTCCTTTTTTTGAGATGGAGTCTTGCACCTCCACCTCCTGGGTTCAAGTGATTCTCTTGCCTCAGCCTTCCAAGTAGGTGGGACTATAGGTATGTGCCACCATGCCCAGCTAATTTTTATATTTTTAGTAGAGACAGGGTTTCACCATGTTGGCCAGGCTGTTCTCAAACTCCTGACCACCCGCCTTGGCCTCCCAAAGTCCTGGGATTACAGGCGTGAGCCACCTCGCCCAGCCTATTGTGTCACTTTCAAAGAAAGTAAGAGGAAATTATAACACAGAAAGACAACAGACCATCAAATGGGCATAGGCCCTTTGACCATTGCAGAGCAAGATCTGGTGGATACTTCCTTAATCAAGTGATCAAACTTAGTATCATCAATAAAGGACAAAGGGACATTCTTTATGCCTCCTGATATGATGCATTGAGAAATGAATATCATCTGTGTTGTATATTACCAGTTTTAAAATCTTAATGTAGTCAGGGGAAACAAACCAGAGAAATCCAGATTGTGGGGCATACTACAAGAAAACTGGCTCAAACTCTCCAAAGTTAATGCCATTAACACACAAAAAGGCAAAGAAGTGTTCTAGATTAAAGAACCATGGCTGGGCATAGTGGCTCACACCTGTAACCCTAGTACTTTGGGAGGCTGAGGTGGCAGTATCACTTGAACCCAGGAAGCAGAGGTTGCTCTAAGTTGAGATTGCGCCACTGCACTCCAGCCTGGCTGACACAGCGAGATCATCTCTCAAAAAAAAAAAAAAAAAACAGAGCAAACCCATGGCAAAGGATGATGCATGACAGACACCTATAGCCCCAGCACTTTGGGACACAGAGATGGGAGGATCCCTTGAGCCTAGGAATTTGAGACCAGCCTGAGCAACATAAGGAGACCCTGTCTCCAAAAAAATCTTTATTTTTTTTATTTTCAAAAAAATCTTTAAAAATTAGCCAGGCATGGTGGCATATGCCTGTGGTCCCAGTTACTCATGAGGCCAAAGTGGAAGGATTGCTTGAGCATGGGAGGTTGAGCCTGCAATGAGCTATGGTTACACAACTGCACTCCAGCAATCGAAGCTGGGTGACAGAGAAAAACCCTGTCTCAAAAAACAAAAAACAAACAAAAAAAAGGCCGGGCACGGTGGATCACCCCTGTAATCCCAACATTTCGGGAGGCTGGTGAATCACCTGAGGTTGGGAGTTCAAGATCAGCCTGACCAACATGGAGAAACCCTGTCTCTAATGAAAATACAAAATTAGCGGTGCGAGGTGGTACATGCCTGTAGTCCCAGCTAGTTGGCAGGAGAATCACTTGAATCCAGGAGATGGAGGTTGTAGTGAGCCGAGATCACACCATTGTACTCCAGCCTGGGCAACAGGAGCAAAACTCCATCTCAGAGAAAAAAAAGGATCTGTGATTAGATCCTCAGTTGGGAGGAAAGAAAAATTGAAGACAAACTATTGAAACAATTGGAGCCAGGTGCAGTGGCTCATGCCTGTAATCCCAGCACTTTGGGAGGCTGAGGCAGGCGGATCACCTGAGGTCAGGAGTTTGAGACCAGCCTGACCAACATGGTGAAACCCCGTCTTTTAAAAAATAAAAATAAAAGAAACAATTGGAGACTGTAGTAGCCATCATTTTATCCATGTATAAGCTTAAGGTGATAATAGTATTATTCTATAGGAGGATGTCCTTGTTTTCCTAATAGGTGCTCAAGTATTTAGGAATAAAATATCATAATGCCTGCAACTTCTTCTTTTTTATTTAATTAGTTAATTGATTTTTTGAGATGGAGTCTTGCTTTGACAACCAGTGCAGTCACTGGAGTACAGTGGCGCGATCTTGGCTCATTGCACCGTCCACTTCCTGGGCTTAAGCAATTCGTGAGCCACCACGCATGGCTAATTTTGTATTTTTGATAGAGATGGGATTTTGCCATGTTGGCCAGGCTGGTCTTGAATTCCTGGCCTCAAGTGATTTGCCCACCTCAGCCTCCCAAATTTCTGGGATTACAAGCATCAGCCACTGCGCCCGGCCTATAATTCTACTAATGATGTCATCTATTGAGAAGATGTATTATGTGCCAAATGCATGAGTGCTATCTAATTATTATAGAGACTCTGCAAGGGAGGTTTATTAATTTATAGATGAGCAAACTGAAACCCAAAAGTTTACATGACCTTGGACCATGCAGCTAGTAAGTGCCAGAACCAGGGATTGAACCCATGTTTGTTTGGTTCAGAAGTTTTTACAAGTCAAGTCAGTGGATTGTTTCAGTTATGTCAGTATAAACTGCTGACTTTATTTCTTGAGAGAAATCTACTGTTAAAGGGTCTAAGCTGGGAAGTACAACTTTCCCTTCTCTTTTGAGGCTGTGAGAAGTTTGTCCAGCCTCAGTCTGGTATAACTGAGTTACCATGTGCTTTGACTGCTCAGAACTCCAATTCTGCCAGTGGTCTGAATGTGGAAAACAAAGTATCTGAGAGTTGCTGTGGTGCAGGAGCATAGGATGTAGTTGAGGCTAAGGGTCAGATATGTGGAAAAGGTGTCCTTACTATCTTCTTGATGGGTATAGTAGGGTAATGGCATGTTTATTGTAGAACATTTAGAAAACAAAGATAAAAATCACTCATAACCCTATGACTCAGAGATAATGTTAACATTTTACAGAAGCTCCTCCTAGACCTTTATCTATGCATACATGCAGATATAGGCATATAAAATATTTAACCAGGCTGGGTACGGTAGCTCAAGCCTGTAATCCCAATACTTTGGGAGGCTGAGGTGGGTGAATCACCTGAGGTCAAGAGTTTAAGACCAGCCTGGCCAACATGGTAAAACTTTCGTCTCTACTAAAAATACAAAAATTAGCTGGGCATCCCAGCTACTTGGGAAGCTGAGGCACCAGAATTGCTGGAACCCAAGAGGCAGAGGTTGTAGTGAGCCGAGATCACGCCACTGCACTCCAGCCTGGGTGACAGAGTGAGACTCCGTCTCAGAAAAAAAAATTAACCAACTCTGCTCTTTCTATACTTATCTTTTGTTTCATTTAATGGTATCTGTGAATACCTTTTCATAACAAAAAATACAGCTCTTGGCGGGGCACAGTGGCTCAAGCCTGTAATCCCAGCACTTTGGGAGGCCGAGGTAGGTGGATCACGAGGTCAAGAGATCGAGACCATCCTGGTCAACATGGTGAAACCCCATCTCTACTAAAAATACAAAAAATTAGCTGGGCATGGTGGCCTGTGCCTGTAATCCCAGCTACTCGGGAGGCTGAGGCAGGAGAATTGCCTGAACCCAGGAGGTGGAGGTTGCGGTGAGCCGAGATCACGCCATTGCATTCCAGCCTGGGTAACAAGAGCAAAACTCTGTCTAAAAAAAAAAAAATACAGCTCTTACAACATCACCTTTATACACTGCATAAATTATGGGTATGCTATTATTTATTTTTATTTATTTTTGAGACAGGGTCTCACTCTGTCACCTAGGCTGGGTGACAGAGGGGTACAATCATGGCTCATGATCATGGCTCACTGCAGCCTCGACCTCTCTGGGCACAGGTGATCTTCTCACCTCAGTCTCCTGAGTAGCTGGGACTATAGCCATGTGCTACCACACCTGGCTGATTTTTGCATTTCTTTGTAGGGTTGCGGTTTCACAATGTTGCCCAGGTTGGTCTTGAACTCCCAGGCTCAAGTGATCTGCCTACCTCATCCTCCCAAAGTGCTGAGATTACAAGTGTGCACCACTGAACCCCACCTGATATGTCATCATTTAATTAATCCTCTCTTATTGGATATTTAGCTTATTTCTAAGACCTCACATGCTTTTGACATCATCCATTTCTGCAGAGAGGGCATTTCAGTGTCACCTTAGTGCTCGCTAAAAGACTTAGCAATAATTTGGCTAAGTGGGCAATAATTTTGCTGCAGTGAGCCATGATACCACTGTCACCCAGCATAGGTGACAGAGTGAGACCCTGTCTCAAAAATTATTAGTTGTAGTGGAACTAGCAGACTTCTAGGCCAAAATTAACCATCAGTGCTGCCCTGCTTTCCTGAAAGCAGAGAGGGGAGAAACACCAGGAAAGTATAAGAAATTATCCTGAGATGTTACTGTCTTCTTTTTTTTTTTTTTCTTGAGACAGAGTCTTTCTGTCACCCAGGCTGGGTACAATGGCAAGATCTTGGCTCACTACAACCTCCACTTCCCAGGTTCAAGGGAGTCTCCTAACTCAGGCTCCCGGGTAGCTGGGATTACAGGCACCCGCCACCACACCCAGCTAATTTTTGTATTTTTAGTAGAGACAGGGTTTTACCATGTTGACCGGGCTTGTTTTGAACTCCTGACCTCATGTGATCCGCCTGCCTCAGCCTCCCAAAGTGCTGGGATTACAGGCATGAGCCATTGCGCCTGGCTGGTTACTGTCTTGATTGAAATGGAGTTGGTAGTCCACAAGTATCTTGAAAGTTGTTGCTGAGTGCTCAGCCCTATGCAAGTTCTAACTATAAAAGGAGAATTTGGCCAGGCGCAGTAACTCACACCTATAATCCCTTGTCCTTAGGACCATGTTTACTGAGATATCATTAATTCCCACAAAGTAAAATAACAGATGTAAGAGTATATACATTGAATGGTTAACCTGTACAGATCCAGCTGTGCCATCAAAAGCAAAAGAGAAGAAGCTTCACAAGGAATGGGGTGGTCAGAGACAATGTCAAGGAAGAGGCAGCACTTGAAAACAGGTAGAAAATGAATAGCACTGGAGGTGAGGGAGACAGCTTGAGCAAAGGAATAGAGGCAAAAGTGAGCATGGTGTATCTATGTTCTGATGAAGTCATTTTTAAGAAAGATTAAACTAGGCCAGGCGTGGTGGCTCAAGCCTGTAATCCCAGCACTTTGGGAGGCCGAGGCGGGTGGATCACAAGGTCAAGAGATCGAGATCATCCTGGCCAACATGGTGAAACCCCATCTCTAACAAAAATACAAAAATTAGCTGGGCAGAGTGGCATATGCCTGTAGTCCCAGCTACTCGGGAGGCTGAGGCAGGAGAATTGCTTGAACCTGGGAGGTGGAGGTTGCAGTGAGCCGACGTTGTGCTACTGTACTCCAGCCTAGCACCTGGTGACAGAGTAAGACTGTCTCAAAAAAAAAAGAAAGAAAGATTAAACTGATGGAGTTCCCAGAGTAGAATGGAAGGGAAAAAGGCCTATTTAGAAAAGCAGACGAAGAGGGTGTTACGGTAACTTAGAAAATGATGTGGTCTTTGTTTTTGTTGTTTGTTTTGTTTTTGTTTGAGACGGAGTTTCACTCTTGTTGCCCAGGCTGGAGTGCAATGGCGTGATCTCTGCTCACTATAACCTCTGCCTCCTGGGTTCAAGTGATTATCCTGCCTCAGGCTCCCAAGTAGCTGGGATTATAGGCATGCACTATCATACCCAGCTAATTTTGTATTTTTAGTAGAGATAGGGTTTCTCCATGTTGGTCAGGCTGGTCTCAAACTCTGGACCTCAGGTGATGCACCCGCCTCTGCCTCCCAAAGTGCTGGGATTACAGGTGTGAGCCACCATGCTGGGCAATGATGTGGTCTTTGTGTCAGTGTAGTTGGGCAGGAAGAACAAGATGGGGAGAAGATAGAGGCAAAAGAACAAAAACCAAAAATATTTAAAAGGTAAAAAAAATCTCTAGGATTTGGTGACTGACTGCTTCCAGGAGATGAAGGAAATGGGTAAGTCAGAGTCGACTTCAACTTGTTAAGACTGAATGATTTAAGAATGCCAGTATTGTTAACAGAGATAAGAAAGTTGCAAGATGAAGCTACTTTTTTTTTTTGAATGGAGTCTCATTCTGTTTTCAGGGCTGGAATGCAGTGGTGCGATTTCAGGTCACTGCAACCTCCACCTCCTGGGGTCAAGCGATTCTCATGCCTCAGCCTCCCAAGTAGCTGGGACTACAGGCATGCGCCACCACGCCCAGCTGATTTTTGTATTTTTCACAGAGACAGGTTTTTGTCATGTTGGCCAGGCTAATCTGAAACTCCTGAGCTCAGGCAACCCACCTGTCTTGACCTCCCAAAGTGCTGGGATTATAGGCATGAGCAACTGCACCTGGCCAAGATAAAGCTAATTTTGAAGGAGACTTAGTTGCAGACATAACGGATCTGAGATGATGGGAAACAGAAGGCTAATGGTTTAGTAAGCAACCTGTGATTATAAAACTGAAGCTTAGGTGAGATGAAAACAGCTAGAGACTCATACACATTTGACACTATCAGCCTGAATGTGATGGCTGAAGGTCTAATGATTAAGGCTCTGAAAGGATATGTAACAGTCCTTCCCAAACCTACCTATGACTCTCCTGGAGATCTTGTTAACGTGCAGATTCATGTTTCTTACACTCTCCCATACAATGCTGGTGTGATTGGTCCAGAGACCACACTGAATAGCAGGGACGTGGAGAGATGAGCAGGGAGCTAAGATCTGTGGTTCGGAGTTACCATTGGGGAGTAAAACAGAAGAAGCCTGCAAAGGAAAAGAGGGTTTCCCAGAGTCATGTTTCCTGTCTTCTCCTTTTATTCCAGGTCCTTTGGAAAATACGTATCGTGATTTCTGGCTCATGGTATGGGAGCAAAAAGTCTTGGTGATTGTCATGACCACCCGGTGAGTTAATCACTTTTTTCCATTGGTCCTCACCTCTACTCTGTCCCTAAGCATGGGTGATTAAATAGGGAAGTTTAGCTTTTAGAAATAATGGGGACCAGTTGGGCATGGTGGCTCACACCTGTAGTCCCAGCACTTTGGGAGGCCGAGGCGGGTGGATCACAAGGTCAACAGTTCCAGACCAGCCTGGACCAGCATGGTGAAACCCTGTCTCTACTAAAAATACAAAAAATTAGCTAGACATGGTGGTACATGCCTATAATCCCAGCTGCTCAGGAGGCTGTGGCAGGAGAATTACTTGAACCCAGGAGGTAGAGGTTGCAGTGAGGCTGAGATCACGCCACTGCACTTCAGCCTGGGCAATAGAGTGAGACTCGGTCTCAAAAAAAAAAAAAAAAAGCCCAGGTGCAGTGGCTCACGACTGTAATCCCAGCACTTTGGACGGCCAAGGCGGGCAATCACAACATTGGGAGATTGAGACCATCCTGACTAACACAGTGAAACCCCGTCTCTGCTAAAAATACAAAACTTTACCCAGCGTAGAGGCATGTGCCTGTAGTCCTAGCTACTCAGGAGGCTGAAGAAGGAAAATTGCTTGAACCGAGGAGTCAGATGTTGCTGTGATAACACTATTGCACTCCAGCCTGGGCGACAGAGTAAAACTCTTGTCTTCAAAAAAAAAAAAAAAAAAAAAGGATTAAGAAACCCATGGCAAAAATTTTGAGATCTCTTAGCTAATTCACAACCCAGTATGGTGGAGAGGAATAGATCTAACTTGTTAAAGCGTTAATACCTGGCTCTGGCAACTCTGTTCCAGTTATAGCCTATTTTGAGGTCCTGGCCTTAGCCACTAAAGGAATTACTGGGAAACATGAGACAATTCTCCTTTAATCTGTTCCCTATTTCTAGAGGGGAGCTGTCTTCCTGGCTCCTGAATTACCAGATCCCCTTTTCTCTCCATTTGTTGTTACTTTTTTTTCTTTTGAGATGGAGTCTCACTCTGTTGCCAAGGCTGGAGTGCAGTGGCACAGTCTTGGCTCACTGTAACCTCTGTCTCTCAGGTTCAAGCAATTCTCCTGCCTCAGCCTCCCGAGTTGCTGGAATTACAGGCATGTGCCACATGCCCAGCTAATTTTTGTATTTTTAATAGAGACAGGGTTTTACCATGTTGGCCAGGCTATTCTTGAACTCCTGACCTCAAGTTATCTGTCCACCTCAGCCTCCCAAAGTGCTGGGATTACAGGCATGAGACACTGTGCCTGGCCTATTGCTTTCTGGCCATTTTTTTCTGCTTGTTCATATTTTCACCTATAGTAGAACTGTAGAGAACATAATGGGTAAATTCTAATGGGTCAGGCAGGAAGCATTTTTTTTTTTTTGAGACAGTGGGCCAGGTGTGGTGGCTCACACCTGTAATCCCAGCACTTTGGGAGGCCGAGGCAGGTGGATCACGAGGTCAGGAGTTCAAGACCAGCCTGGCCAATATGGTGAAACCCTGTCTCTAAAAAAAAAAAAATTTTTAAATAAATAAATAAATAAATAAATAAATAAAAGAGACAGAATGTCATCCTGTCACCCAGGCTGGAGTGCAATGTCACGATCTTGGCTCTCCCGGGTTCAAGCAATTCTCTGCCTCAGCCTCCTGAGTAGCTGGGATTACAGGGATGCACCACCACACCGAGCTAATTTTTGTATTTTTAATAGAGACAGGTTTCACCATGTTGGTCAGGCTGGTCTTGAACTCCTGACCTTGTGATCCGCCCACCTTGGCCTCCCAAAGTGATGGTATTCCAGGCTTGAACCACCATGTCCACCCAGGAAGCTTTTAATGAAAGGAATATTTTTGAAATTTTGGTCTACTAATCTGGCAAATTTTTTTTTTAATCTGGCAAATTTAAGGAATAACCTATTTCAGATGAGAAAGGAAAAAAACGAATGAGAATGTTCAGTTCCCTTCCTCAGCATTGTTATAACCACCTCTTATTTGGAGAGGAGGTAGTGGGAGAAGTACCACCTTGGAATACTTTGGGGCCACTGGAGGGTGGCGAGGTAGATTTAGATTAAGCCCTTTTTTTTGGAGGGGGAGATGGAGTCTTGCTCAGTCACCCAGGCTGGAGTTAGTGCTGTGATCTCAGCTCACTGCAGCCTCTGCCTCCTGGGTTCAAGTGATTCTTCTGCCTCAGCTTCCCAAATAGCTGGGATTACAGGCACTCACCACTATGCCTGGCTAATTTTTTTATTTTTAGTAGAGACAGGGTTTTACCATGTTGGCCAGGCTGGTCTTGAACTTCTGACCTCAGGTGATCCACCTGCCTCAGTCTCCCAAAGTGCTGGGATTGCTGGGATTTCAGGTGTGAGCCACCACGCCTGGCCTAGGCCTTTTTTTTTTGAGACAGCGTCTTACTTTGTCATCCAGGCTGGAGTGCAGTGGCAGCATCTAAGCTCAGTGCACTCTCAACCTCTTGATTCAAGCAATCCTCCTGCCTCAGCCTCCTAAGTAGCTGAGACTACGGGTACCCACCACCATGCCTAGCTAATATTTGTATTTTTAGTAGAGACAGGGTTTCCATGTTGCCCAGACTGAGACTTCAGGCTTTTACACAAACCTCCTGCTAACATTCCAGGAGATGTGTCTTTCTCAGTCTTCTATTAGCCAACCGCTCTTACCGGGGAAGACAAGCAGTGGCCGAGGTATAGGCCAGGGAGTTCTCTCTGACCTATCATATTTTCTCTACTGTTTTTTTTCCCTTTTTCTTTTCTTTTTCCTTTTTTTTTTTTAGATGGAGTTTCACTGAGTTGCCCAGGCTCATGGTCTTAGGTGATTCTCCTGCCTAAGCCTCCCAAGTAGCTGGGATTACAGGCATGCATGACTGTACCTAGCTACTATACTGTTTTTTTCCTCTGTTCACCCAGTATTTATCCCACATATGTGAGAAGTATCATTGCATATTAGGAAAAAGACCAAATGATGTGGTAAGTGCTCAGTAACTGTCTGCTATATGAGTACATGCAAAAACCTTAGCTCTGAGTACATTTGTTTAGAATGAAGAGGTTTCCTTTCTTTTCTGCTGAGAATCAATGGTGTAAGTTAGAAGCAATGCAAGAGATAATATTGCTGCCTGGGGGTATATTAGGATTTTGTGGAAGTCAGGTTACTGCTGCGGAGAGGAAGGATGGAAGGCTTACCTTGCTCTGTGTGTCTTCAGCTTTGAGGAAGGCGGCAGGAGAAAGTGTGGCCAGTACTGGCCTTTAGAAAAAGACTCTCGGATCCGATTTGGCTTCCTCACAGTGACCAATCTAGGCGTGGAGAACATGAATCATTATAAGAAAACAACGCTAGAAATTCACAACACAGAGGTAAATCCAGGTTTCTTTTTTCTCACCTTGTTGAAACAGGGGGAGAATAATTACTGTAAAGAAAATCTCCAGAGGGAATAAATAGGATACCAGGGAGGTTATGAGTTGCTTCTGTTTTTCTGGGGTCAGGATGAGGATATTTAACTCACAGCCAATATAGCTATATTACTACAGCACAATAGGAGCATCAAATAGGTATAAAACTTAGAATTTAAGAAATCTGGGGCTGGGTGCAATGGCTTATGCTTGTAATCCCAGCACTCTGGGAGGCCAAGGCAGAGGGATCACTTGAGCCCAGGAGTTCAAGACAACCTAGGCAACACAGTGAGATCCCGTCTCTACAAAACATAGAACAAATTAGCTGGGCATGGTGGCACATGCCTGTGAGGTCAAGGCAGCAGTAGGTTTGATTGTGCCACTGCACTCCAGCCTGTGTGACAGAGTGAGATCCTGTCTCCAAAAAAAAAAAAAAAAAAAACAACTGGGGTCGTACAGTATAGGAATTCTGCCTTTTCCAAACAATTAACTGATCCTTCCTTTGGGTCTGTAGTAAAAGAAGCAATTATGAGAAAAGTTGATAGTGGTGGATAGCAGTCTTGGTGGTAGGGATAACCAGGGTGTTAAGAATCTGGAAAAGCTAGAGGTAGCTAGGGGAAGGCAGAAATGACCTTGTTCACTTTTGCTTTTCTCATTTAAGGAGCGGCAGAAACGGCAGGTGACCCACTTCCAGTTCTTGAGCTGGCCAGACTACGGTGTCCCTTCCTCAGCAGCTTCCCTCATTGACTTCTTGAGAGTGGTCAGAAACCAGCAGAGTCTGGCTGTGAGCAACATGGGAGCACGCTCCAAAGGGCAGTGCCCTGAGCCACCCATTGTGGTCCATTGCAGTGCAGGCATTGGCAGGACAGGTAATGTACCTAATGCAGCTCTTGGTGTCTGCAGAGGCAGTCGGGGTGGAGGAGGAATAACAAAGCTCTTAGCCCACATCTGTGATTGGAGAGGGAAGTCTTTTGCTCCCTTGATGGTGAATTGCTGTGAAAAAATCCCTCTTTTAATGTCCTTTTGGTGGACTAAGAGATGGCCAGAATATATATTTCATAAGCCAAGTCCTCTAGGGGTTGATGTTTTATTCACCCCCATCATAACGCTGACCCTGTTACCTTGTTAGCACTGTCACTGCAGAGAGCTCAGCTGGGCTGCTTCCTTCCCATCTAGCCCTCCCTGGAGGAACTCCCCACCCTGTGCTGTGTTCTCCATTCTGGAGCAAGTTAGCAGCTTTTGCCTTAAGGGGATGTACATGGCAGGAAGTGTGGGCCTTTCTAGCTTAAAGGTCCCTTTGGGAGAAAGTTGGGAATAGGTTTGCGTTAGGCCTCTGAGAAACTTATGGACTCTGGAAATTAGGTGTGGGAGTGCTGTCAGTCTGTCTGTCTGGGATTGAAGCAGGAAGTTACCCTGTATCACCCTCCCGTTTCCACTTCTGTTGCCCCAATGTGTGTCCTGAGAGGTAAGAGGCCTTCTGGCCTCCAACACGCCCCATGACCTTCTCCTTGAGTCCTTTCAGGCCTAAGGCCATCTGACCTTCTGCCATGAGGCAGTTTGCCTTTGAATTCATTCATTCAATTCTGCCTGGGTTATTTGATAGAGGGAAGAAGAGATGAGAGGTAAACCAGATGTGATCACTTCCTTCCTTCTTCAGGTACCTTCTGCTCACTGGACATCTGCCTGGCACAGCTGGAGGAGCTTGGCACCCTTAATGTGTTCCAGACGGTGTCACGCATGAGGACCCAGAGGGCCTTCAGCATCCAGACCCCTGAGCAGTACTATTTTTGCTACAAGGCCATCCTGGAGTTCGCAGAGAAGGAGGGCATGGTATCCTCTGGCCAAAACCTTCTGGCCATGGAGGGTCAGTAACTCTTCCACGAACCTCCTACCTGCTGGCCAGCCTTCCTTAAACTACCCTGGACACCGCTGAGCCTATAGGTTGCCATCAGTTACGCTGAAGCCATGGATCAACTTCTTTCTCGTGTCTCCCGGCACATGTGCACGCAAGGCAGCCTTTCCCTTTGGCTAGATAAATGTGGTGAAGTTGCCACTAGAAAGGGCCAGCAGCAATGTGTTCTTAATTCCTAGCACCTGCTATCAAACTGTGCCTTATTAAAACCAAATTGTGGCTATTGATTTTTTCCAGGGTCCCCGAGGTAAGTGGGGAAGGAACATCCCTCCCCCTTTCTCCCACCATTCTCTTTCTGGAGGTCTCCTGTCTCCCACTCCTTCCGTTTGCTAGGATTTTATGGGGAGGTTTGATGAGCATTTGCCTTTCTCCCCAGAGAGCTTGACCAAGTTACATATTCTAGAGATCGTCCTGAGTGCCAAGCACGTTTATAAGTAGGGCGTGTATTCCAGTCCTTTCTGTCATTCTGTGTGTGTGTGTGTGTGTGTGTGTGTGTGTATGCACTTAAGTGTATGGGTCCATATGTATGTGTGTATATAATATATATTGTATGTGATAATATCGTATTCTATAAATATATATACACACAGATACTCCTTTGTAGAAGTTCCTGGGGCTTTGTGTTGCAGTTCAGGACTCCTTGCTTCTTGGACCCTACTATTTATCCTGGACTACTTGAGTTGGTGGTCATGTCTCCTGTTGTCAGGCTACAGAGTGGTGGAAGAGGACACACACACATCTCCTCTGTGTTCCTGCCACAGGGCCTCATCCTTAAGTAATTACTTAATCCCCCTCCAGTTGCTACCTGTTGGAGCCAAGAATATTAGTTTGTGGTGACACTGGGTTAACTCTGCATGCATTTTCCTTATCTGATGATTTTTCTCTGCTTATTTGGCCAATTTGGGGAACAGACCTCTACTGTGATTCCATACTCTCTCTTTGCTTTCACTATCCCAGGGATGGGAGGCGGAGGGTAGAGATGAACTCAGAGCAGCCGGAGCCAAAAGCAATCGGTACGAAGTCTTAGAAGGAAGGAGGGGAGCCCAAGTGTGCGAGAGAAAAATCTACTAAGAAAATACCTCCCTGGAAGGATTAGCTGGGGCCCTTTTTTTTTTTTTTTTTTTGGCTGGATGGTTCCTTTATGCAGCTTGGCCCTGTCTACTGAGATGCCCGCTAGTCTGCTAGACCCTCAAACTGGGTGGGTTTTGTGTCAATAAAAAGCTTTACCCCCTGGCTGGGTGAGGAGGTCCCCTGCAATCACTGTTTGTCCCCTACCTACCCAACCTGATCCCTGCCTGCTCCCAGCCCACTCATCCTTATGTGCTAGGGATGATTAAGAGTCCCCAGTACTCTACATTCCCAAGAAAATCACAGGAATTCCTAAACCTTCCCCTGTCACAGAAGATGAGGTTGGCAACTGATCAGACCTCAATAATTTTATATTGTAATAAGCTCTTTGAATGTGTATATTCTTATTTTTTACAATCATTTCATTTTGTATTTAATATCAATGGACTGAGTCAGATTCAGAAAATAATTGTAATGTTCATATTCAATATCTTACAGTGATACAGTTTTGTATTTACATATAAATATACCGACATGATCGAAACCCTTTTAGCTTCATCAATTTAGCAGCCTGGGACTGGGAACTTGAGGGAGGGGGTCCAAGAACTGGTCTGGGAGGGATGAGGGAGGCAGGGAGGGACCCAAGTCTTCAGTATCTGAGACTCTGAGTTCTGACTCTTTGAGTTCACCTTGTCTGTAGTCCACAGCCCTATCTCTGGACAGAGGGACCAGCACCAGTTCAGTGCTTGAGATAGACTAAGCACTGTGCTAGGTGCTTTTGCCCCAGTGCCTCATTCACACCTCACAACAGTTCAGTGAGATATTATCCTCTCTCCCTTCTCCTGTGCATCCCTTTCTCATTTCTATATAGATGAGGAAGGTGAGGTCCAGAGGGTTACAGTGATTTGCTCTAAAATGAACTCAAGGTAGTCTGCTTACAAAGCCTGTGGTCTCTTCACTGCGTTGTCTTTGGAGAACAGAGATTTGTTTAGCTCTCCTTTCAGAGTATAAATAGTTCTTAAATTCCAGGTAGTTGTTGTTGAGCTCATGCTTCATGTAGTAAACTGGAAGGGTGACAGGGTTGGTAACTGACTGTCCTAACTGGGACCTCCTGATGTAGGGTCCTCATGTCTGCAGAGTACCAAAGTGGTCATCATTCTCTCCAGGAAACTCCATATATCTGGGTACACTGTCTTTGTGAGAAGATCTTGAGTCATTTGCATTTCTCTCTGCAAAAGAATGGAACTGGAAGCTTTGTCCATGGAAGACCACTCCCCATATCATCCCTGTTGGCTGGGGAAGGGGCAGTTGTGGCTGGGAAATACTGGGGTGTTCTGAATAATAGTCACAGCAGACAGTTTACTGGATGCTCACTCTATTCTAGGCACTGTTCAGAGTAATTTCTAGGTATCGTCTCATTCACCTTCAACAACCTTTTGAGGTAGGTATTCATAGAAAAAAACTGAGACACAGGAATATTAATTTGCTACAGCCAGGATCCATCTGACTCCAAAGTACCTTCTTTGAACTCTTACACTAGACTTCCTCTAATGATCCATCTTCTGATCTGCCAATAAATTTTTCTTGAGTTTCTTACCATAATTGGGAGCTCAAGGGTAGAACAGAAGATTAATCTAGTTCTTTTTCCAGATAAGCCTCCATTCTCTTGGGAGTACACAAACATAAGAAGTGAACAGATTCTTGGAAATTTGAGAGACCAGAGAGGTTAGGGGTTTGATGGAATATGTAAGAAGTGGGGTTTATGATAAAAGGCCTGGCAGAAGTAACTTTAAATTGTCATTTATTTGAAGAGGTTGTAACCCAACTGCCCTGTGAATTTAAGGTTATGCATGAGTTCCTCATTGCATATCTGAAAGATCTGTGAGGTGATCAAGTGATCTCCATAAAATGCCAATTCCTAGGTCCACCCAGTAGGTGGTTAGTGAGTGACAGGATGATCCAGGTTTGGGAACCACAAATTTAGTTCATGTTTCTGACTCTGTAGAGGTAGCAAATTGATGTCTCCCGAATTTTCAGTAAAACTCAGAAACGGTTCAATACGTCTCCTTCCACTGCTGTTGTTTGTAGCTTTTACCACTGCAATCCTACCTGTGTTAGGGGTTACAGGAGGAGGTAAAGGAAAAGGAAGGCAAATAGGGAACCCAGAATATGTCAAGTCAGAATATGACAAGTCAGGGTTCTCATACAGGAGACATAGTGACAAAGCAAGAAACAATGTTTAGGAAAGAAGAAAGCACTGAAGGCCCAGGGTGGTGGCTCAGACCTGTCATCCCAGCACTTTGGGAGGCCGAGGCAAGCAGATTACAAGGTCAGGAGTTCCAGACCAGCCTGGCCAACATGATGAAACCCCATCTCTATTAAAAATACAAAAATTAGCCAGGTATGGTGGTGGTCACCTGTAATCCCAGCTGCTTGGGAGGCTGAGGCAGGAGAATTGCTTGAACCTGGGAGGCAGAGGCTGCAGTGAGCCGAGATTACACCATTGCATTCCAGCCTGGGTGACAGACCAAGACTCCGTCTCAGAAAAAAGAAAGAAAAGAAAAGAAAGAGAAAATAAGAAAGCAGTGTGAGCTAAAACAAGCTTCTGCTTCTGAATTAGTTGCTGGTGTTTTCACCTTTCTCTAACAGTCCCATGGTATACAAGTTTTAAAACATGAGATATTCCCCTGTCCTTTTTCCCATTGCTCCCTTCATCTTGCTCATCCCTGTTGGCTAGGATGGGACTCCTGAGGTGAAGGGTGCCCCAGTAGCTACAGCATGGAAGGCCCACCAATGTCAGTCTTCTTCATGTGACAGTATGCAGGTAAATGACAGAATAGGACTTGTTCTTGGGAGAATGGACTATTTAGCATCATGGCCCTATGGAAATTTCGTTCCTTCCCTGAAAGGGACGCTTCCTGTCTCTTGGGACAGACAGACACACAAAAGTCTTATAAATCAGAGATCTAGAGGGAAGTGGGCCAAGAGGCATTGGCCAAGTAGAAAAGCTTCTCTAGAGTGACCGAGCTCTTTGGTGGTTTTGAGGTCTCACCACTCAACCCAGCCCAAATCCTAGCTTCCCTGTGTAAAAGAAGGGGCTACTACACTAGATAATCCTACCATGGGTCCTCTGACTGTAAGGGTCCAGTTCTTTCTTGGGCAGTACAAACGCCTATAGAGGAGCTATTAGGCCCTTACTTGGGTTGAGTTGGCCCCCACTAGCAGTCCCCGCTATTTATTCCTCCCAGAGACAGAGTCTTGCTCTGTTGCCTAGGTTAGAGTAGTGGCATGATCATGGCTCACTGCAGTCTCAACTCCTGGGCTCAAGCAGGAACCCAGCTTTTTTATTCTCTCTTTTGAGCCAGGATCTCACTGTGTTGCTCAGGCTGGTCTCAAACTCCTGGCCTCAAGTGATTCTCCTGCCTCGGCCTACCAAAGTGAGAGGATTACAGGCATGAGCCACCATGCCCAGCCTCCCCAGTTTTAGTTTGTTTTCAGAGCCTCTTCTTTCAGGCTGCTGCTACTTCCCTAGCTTCCCTCAGTTCTCTTCCTGCTTGGTCTTCCAACGGAGGAAAAGCAGGTCAGGTCTCTGTCCTCTCCAAGACCAGCTTATAGGCCTTTAAGGTTTCCCTGTTTCTCAATGTGGGATCTACAGGGTGACTCAGAGGCCAGGCATGAACTGACCAAGGGTCCCAGAGCTGCCAACCTAGGCTTTAGATTTCTCTCCGGCCTTGGTTACTACATACAAACCACTGGGAAGCTACCAAGGGCAGGAGTGGAAGTGCCTATCAGCCTGGGAACCATCTTTTTCTCTTAGGAGGTATCCACCCTATAGTTACTTTTACACAACACTTGTGGATATCAAGTGTTTTGGACTGCACTGCTCATAATTGACTACAGAGAAGACTGGGGTCTTCTCCACAAATAGAAATCGAGCACTTTTTTTTTTTTTTTGAGACAGAGTTTCGCTCTTGTTACCCAGGCTGGAGTGCAATGGCACGATCTTGGCTCACCGCAACCTCCTGGGTTCAGGCAATTCTCCTGCCTCAGCCTCCTGAGTAGCTGGGATTACAGGCACGTGCCACCATGCCCAGCTAATTTTTTGTATTTTTAGTAGAGACAGGGTTTCACCATGTTGACCAGGATGGTCTCCATCTCTTGACCTCGTGATCCACCCACCTCGGCCTCCCAAAGTGCTGGGATTACAGGCTTGAGCCACAGCGCCCGGCAGAAATCTAGCACTTTTACTTGGAGATGTTTTCTTGGGAAAAAACCAATCTAGCACACTGAAACTTGTTATAATGTTTAAATCTCCCTCCTTAGCTGTCATAAAATCCTCCCTCCTGTTTGAGCTAATTGTGGCCTGCTAAAATCACAGCATATTTTTTCAGGCTAAGGCCCATATTTTTTCAGGCTAAGTCCATGGTGGGCATAGCTAACTCCGCTAGAATCCTAGCTGGGGGTTCGATCGATCAGGTGCTATAATGCTTTCAGCAATTGAAGGGAATATGTTCCTGATGGTTGCTGAGACTATGATGACTAGAGTAGGAAAGCAAGACAGTGAGATACAGGCGAAGGTAGTCAAGGCGGTGCAGTGCCCCTCCCAGACTCCAGGCTCACGTTTGTTTCCCCTCCCCGAGTGTTATAATCTCGCTACTTCTCTTTTTTTTTTTTTTTTTGAGACAGTCTTGCTCTGTCACCCAGGCTGGAGTGCAATGGCACCATCTCGGCTCACTGCGACCTCCACCTCCCAGGTTCAAGCGATTCTCCTGCTTTAGGCTCCTGAGTTGCTGGGATTACAGGTGCGCATGCACCACCACGCCTGGCTAATTTTTTTGTATTTTTATTAGAGATGGTGTTTCACCATGTTGGTCAGGCTGGTCTTGAACTCCTGACCTCATGATCCAACTGCCATGGCCTCCCAAAGTACTGGGATTACAGGTGTGAGCCGCCGTGCCCAGCAATCTGGCTACTTCTTTATGCTGCCGCGTAGTTTGTCTTAAAGCCTCAATACTGGCCAGATGTGCACCTGAGCAAAGGTCAGCCATTTCATCTCAGGGTTGACTTTCAATGAATTTTTTTTCTGTGAAAAAAATGAATTTTTAATACAAAAATTTCTGTGGTCAGCATCCAGTAGAAGTCTGGAGTCTAATGTTCAGGGCAGATACTGGTCTGGAGATGTCAATTTAGGACTTAGTTTAGAAAGAAGCAATGAGTCTTGAAGTGAGAAAGAGGAAGGCAAGAGAGGAGATACGTTTGGATGCTGCCAACATTTAGGTAACGGGTGGAGGAAGAAAAATTGCTGAAGGATATTGATGAACAGCAGAGGTAACCGAGCACAAAGCCAGGCTGCTTTGTCACAGGCTGCTGAGAGGTAGGTAGTGGCTGGGACGAAAGAACAAGATCTGAAATGTGGCTTCATTAGTCTTCAAAGGGATGACGTGGCAGTCAGGGAGGTTGCATGAGAGAGATGTGAAGGAATGGACTACAGTGCTCAGGCTGTCCTCACTTCAACCAAAACAAGGCCCACCTTGATCTCTTACA